CACTAGCCCTAGTTTCTGCCAATTTTTAAAAATCAAACCAATTATTTATCTGGGGTACTGGGGGTCTAACCCAGGGGTGCCTGACTGCTGAGCCAGGTCCCCAACCCTTTTTGTCTCAATAAGTTGCTGAGAGTCTTGCCAAGATGCTGAGGCCAGCCTCCATCAGCCGCCTGAGTCTCTGGGATCACAGGCCTGTGCCACTGTGCCCAGCTGCCAATTTAAAATTTTTAGAATAGTGATGTCCAGCTGTGGGGGCTTCTGTTGGCCACCTCTGGCCCAGGCCTTGCTGGGGGTTCCCATGGCCTGAGTGCCAGTGGTGGCTATCCTGGATCACTGGTTCCCTTGTTACCCTAGTGGGGCTCTCCTTCCTGACCAGGCTGACCTGGTTTGTCACCTCCTCCTCCCCTTTGTGGCACTTTAGTCTTTGGGGACCATCTTTCAAACCCATGGCTATTTTTGTGGGGCCAGAAATAGTAGGCTATGAAGAGCGAGGGACTGTGTGGTAGGGTAGGTGGGCATCTGTGAAATCTGGACCAAGTCTGGGGCCACAGAAGCTTTGCCAGGCTGAGGAGGCCCAGCAGAGGCTGAGGAGGCTGAGCAGAGGCAGGAAGAAGGTTGACTCCTCTCATTCCTGCCCTGGGGCTGGGATGGGTTGACAGGCTTGAAAGGCAGCTTTGGCCTTGTCCTGGCTGCAGGAGGCTTCACCGTGCAGGTGCAGAACTGAGAATCCCATTGGCTGAGGACCTGGGGAGGTGTCCCCAAAGAGAGCTTCAGATGTAAAAGGCCCCTAAGACAAAGGGCAGAGAGGCTGGGGCCTCAGGTGCCTGCGATCTCCTGGCAGGGAGTGTGTTTTCCCCAGGGAAAGTCACTTCTCTTTTTTACTGCCCCTGATTCTCCAGAACAATAGCTCTCCCCAAGAGTGGGATGAGTGGGAAGTGGGGACCAGGAAGCCTCCCAATTCCCCCACTTTGGTCTTCCAGTGCTGTGTCTGAGCACAGCCCTGACACATTCAGGGTATAAATCCTCACTTAATCCCTTTCTTTTAGGGGGAAATGGGCCCGAATGGCCCTGTGTCTGTGGAGAGGGGAATTTCCTGTTTCCAGGTCCCCTTTGGGCTGTTGACTCCACATTCCTGCTCTGCTGGATTTGCTGAAGACATTCCTGTATGCTGGGGAAGACAACCTGGAGTGTCCAGGTGGCTGGCACCCCTCTGGTCCTAACCTCCTCATCCAGATGTGTTTGGGGGCACCTGGCCAGGTTGTGTGCCTAGCTGTGGACTGCAGAAAGGACAAACATGCCAAGATGGAAGTCACAGTCAGGAGGAGACACATTCAGCCAGTGAACTGGCAAAGGAGGAGAATCACTTATTTTACTTATTTATTTTATTTTTGGTCCCAGAGATTGGACCTCGGGGTGTTGAACCACTGAGCCCCATTCCCAGCCCTTTGTAGTATTTTTCTTAGATACGGGGTCTCACTGAGTTGCTCTGGGCCTCGCTAAATTGCTGAGACTGGCTTTGAATTTATAATTCTCCTGCCTCGGCCTCCTGAGCACATGGCAGAAAATAACTTGATAGTCCTCAGTGAGGGATGGTGACCCAGGGAATACACCACAACTTCTGGATATTGTGAAGAGGAGGCTGAGGCCAGGGTGGTCAGGGAAGGCCTCTTTGGGGAGCTGATATTTGAGCCCAAAGCCAAAGTTGGCCAGTATGGAAAAGATTGCAGAGAACATTCTAGATGGAGGTGCATCCATGTGCAAATGGCTTGTCTGAGCAGCAGAAAGGGGGCCACTGAGGTTGTAGTTGAGTGAATGAAGAACAGAGGGGCACAGGGCTGCTCACTGGGGGTGCTGTAGGTCTTGATAAGAGGGTCTCAGAGGAGGGCTGGAGCAGGATGTGCCCTTCCTGGTTCAGTGCCTGGTCTTGTTGAGGCAAGCAGACCAGCCGGTGGTTGGATAGTCATGGGATTGAAAAGTGGCAGCCAAGAAGGTTGGAATGAATGGGAAGAAGTGATGGTGGGGCAGGAGCACCCTTTGCTGAGCACCTTTTAGGTTCCAGGCACCCGACCTGTCATCCTAAACTGCCTCCCTCACTCTCTGCCTTCCTTCCCAGCCCTGGGGATCAAACCCAGGGTCTTGCATGTTTCAGGCAAGCCCTCTAGCCCTGCCCTTCTTATTTTGAAGGTTGCCTGGGCTGCTAAGTTGCCTGGGCTGGCCTCCAACTTGCAGTCCTTCTGCCCGAGCCTCCTGTTTTCCTGGGTTCAGGCCTGAGCCACCACACTCCTTGCACCCTGGGAGGTGGAGGATTCTTAAAGTAACTTCTCATCAAGCAATAGCTGAGAAATGTATGAGCCCTGTATAAAAAGAAAATAGAGAAGTACTTCCCTTGCTATACCTTCCTCCCATACATAATCACATATTCCTGATGTTTCTTTTTAAACTTTTTTTTTGTCTAGAATGCAATCAGTTGTTTTGAATTTACTAACCATATTACCACGGGGCTCTTTTCCTCTGGGTCTCAGTTACTGTATCAATAAAATGGGGTTTCTCAGAACCTACTGTCTTGCAAAATTGTGGTGAGCTGGAAATAAGTTGATTCTTATTTAGAAAATCCGCCCCACACACCAGTAAGTGTTCAGCAGGAGGCAACTGTTTGTTTCTGGTGTCCTCCCTGAAGGGCAGGCCCTCCACTGATGCTGGTGGCCTGGATATCTGGAAGTTGCTCAGTGACTATCTGTGAGTGACTATTGCCATTGTTTTCTTCCCTTTGAAATGCAGGTGAAACACTGGGTGTCCTCAGCCCAGGCAGGTTGCAACAGCGGGTGGCATGTTTACTCAGGGTTAGGCCTCCTGCAGGCTCACTGGAAGGTCCTTGATACCGAGCTTCTCAGCACAGTGGACATTATGGACCTGATCAGTCTGTCCTGGGACCATCCTGTGAGGTATTTGGCAGAGTCCCTGGTCTCTGTCCACGACAGGCCAGTAGCAGCCCCTCTCTTTGTCTACCGTATCAATAAAATGGGGTTTCTGAGGGGTTTGGCAATTACTAAAATTATCTCCAGATGTTTCTGCTGGGTGTCCTCTGGGGGGACCCAGTTGATGACCTCTGTTCCACACTGTTTTAAACATCTGAGTCCCTTAAAGGTGGCCCTGGATGGATGTGCGGTTGGGGGAGGGCTGCCCTGAGCTCCTGCTGTATACTGGATCCTCAGGATACAGGGTAGGAGCACCTGGCATGTCCTGAGTGTTCCATCAATCTGTTGTCCCCATCCCCCACTTAAAGTGTTGGAGCATTCAGGGGCCCAGCACTTACTGAGTGTCCTATGTCTTGGCAAACCCAATGTGTGCCTGGCCCTTCCTGCACCTAGGTCTTGTGGCTGCCTGGTTTCTGAGGCCTTTGTGCCCTGATAGCACACAGATGCATCTCTGCATCCCACCATGTGGCCAACACGTGATGCTCTGCATCCCACTCCCCCGTGGGTAGGCACTGCTGTGCATCCTATCTTGGGCTCCCATGGCCAAGCTGCAGTGGCTGCCCTGGTGCCCACTCTAGGCGTGCCTTGCCTGTAGGCGGTAGGAAGGGCATCTCAGCATCGCTCCACTGGTGTCCTGGGGACAGGAAGCCTCCCTCCTTCCCTCCCTCCCTTGGCTCTATGGAATGTGGGCGATGTTCTGCATCTGAAATCCTCCCTTCCCCAGAGGGGTGCCCTGCATTCACTGTGGAGGGCTGTCTCTTCTTCCTGGTCAGCATGCTCTTGTTTTCATTAAGGGGACTTTCCAGAGGTCTATGGAGCACTGCCTGGTTGGCCTTCATCTCCTCCTTTCTGAGGCACCTTTCTTCCCCTATCTTCTCGCAGACCCAATCCGGGCTTCAGCTGCAGCTGCCACAGAATCACCTTTTTGTTTCTGAACAGGCCCTTGTGCCGCCACGGCTCGCACTGCCCTGTTTGAAAGCGTGGGGCACCTGGCTTCCCAGAAGCCCAGCTGCACAGTGGGGGTGGGCATGGAGTCCTGCAGCCACGAGAATCATGCAGATGGGTCTCTGCCAGCAGAGCCAGCGGCCTTGGGATGGCCTGAGGCAACTGGTTCATCCACATTCCCTGTGTGGTCTAGCCGAAGTGGCTGGCCGCCCTCTATGTGCCATGTTGGAGTGGCCTCGAGGCCTGGCCTCTGTGGGTGGGGGGTCAGTGCTTTCCTGGAGTGAGTTGGGCTCTGTCTCTTGGTAAATTGCACTGAGTTGGTTCTTCAGCAGGAGATGCCTGGCCGGTGCTCTCACCTCTTCCTCCCCCAGGGCCTCAATCCAACTCCAAGGAGAAGTGAGGTTGCTCAGGCTGCTGAGCTGAAAAGAGAAGCCATTTGGAAACCAGCCCCCTTCCCTGGGTAGAAGCAGGTCCACCTCTTGCATTCATACTCCCCTTTGATCCCATTTTGCCCTGTAGAGTGTGGGGTGGGGGAGGCTGTACAGGGGCAGGGTCATTCCTCCCGCACCAGGACAGGCTTCTCCCTTCCAGGAAGCGCATCAGAACTCAAAGACAATTTGAAGCAATTATTAAGACAATTGAAAGCACATTGAAAATACAAGGCACAGCCTTCAGTCCCCTTCCCCTCCTCACTCCTGGTCTGCAGAACAACTCAGACTCCTTGTGTTTATTCACCTTCACCTGAATAAATGGCTCTTTGGTGCAGTGCACTGAGGACTTGCAACGTGGCTGTGCTGCTGTCGAGGGTGATAAATCAGAGGCGAAGGCTCACAGACATGAATGCAAGCCTCTGCCACAGATGGCCTGGTTGCAGAAAGGTGATGGTGTGCTTCCCCCACCAGGTGACCTAATGTGTCCAGAACCAGGGCTGGCCTGGTAAGTGGTGACTCTTAGCCTGTCCTCTGCTTCTTCCTCCTCCCCCTGGGAGAGGCTGCTGAGGAGCCGGAAGCAGAAATGTCTGCAAAGCAAGCCTCTGTGTCTTTGGAAAAGGACAGGCCAGGCCCTCAGAGAAGCCAGGCTTCCTCCATGGCCAGTAAGCATGCCCTCCCTGATTCCTGTGCTTGCTTTAGGTCACAGTGTCCAAGTTGCCAGGGAAGTGACCCTCTTATCCCACTGCCTTGTTTTCCCTTTCACCACGTCTCCTGGTTCTGGGTGGGAATTCTCCCGTCACTGAGGGCATCCTGGAGGAGCCACCAGGGCTGTGGAGGAGGCCGCTGTCCTCTGACCTGGCAGGCCCAGGCAGGCAGGCGCCGTGTTCCCCATGGGTTCCTGTAGCTCTGAGGCCACGTCTGCCCAAGGGCTGTGGGGACTCACATGCTCCTCGGGGCTCAAGATTCTTTGCTCTAAGGACAGTTTCACTCCCTGCCCCGATCCATTTCCCTGATTCCTGCTCTCTGCAAGGAGGAAATTCCGGGCCTTTTTTTTTTTTTTTTTTTTAGTAGTTGTTCCTAGCAGAGGCCCCAAGATTCCTGCAGTGGGAGGCTGCTTGGGTCCCTGCTCTGTGTCCCAGGAGGGCAGCTGCTTTGGAAGTGATCAGCCCTGCTCTACCTTGCTGCTTCTGGGAGGGCAGCTGTGGGTGGTCCAGTTTGAGGTGGGCTGTGCGAGGGCTGTGGTCACTGAGAGCTGTCTGAGCCTTGCTGTGGCCTCCTCTGACCTCTTCTGCTGCTATTACCTGCGAATCCTGCATTTTTATAGTCTGATTGAAATGCAGAAATCCATCCTGGCTCATTCCGAGTTCCACATGGACTGGTGTATTTGATAACTGTGAACTGTTTGTGGGGTTGATTTAATATGCATTTTGGAGAAGGCATGCTCTGCTTTAGGGGCAGGGTGGTGGTGGGGAGGAGGAGGAAGAGGAGGAAGAGAAGAAGCAATGATTGAGATAGTTCCTTGATTGAGCTCACTTTGTGCCCAGTCTTCTCCTGAAAGCTGAGCAAAATCATCTCATCTCCTCCTTTGGTGACTCTGCCACTTATCTCCATCTTTCAGAACAGCCCAGAGAGGCTGAGTCGCTTCCTCACGGTCACACTGCTGGGGAGAGCAGAACTATATTCTGGAGGCTGTTAATGCCAGAGAGCAGTTTCCCGACTGCCTGTCTTTGTCATCTACGATCTGGTGCCTCTACTCTGTAGGATGACCAGTTGTTCCAGTTTGCCCAGGGTACCCTGCTGCAGTGGTGGACATGCATGTCCCACTTATCTTGCATGCAGGCCCCAGCAGGCTTGTGCAGACATTAACACCCACAGAAACAGGAGGCCTGGGCCTTGGCGCTTCAGCCCTTCCCCTGGAGGGACGATGATTCCCTGTAATATGTGTCATTTCTGAGACCCAGGAGAGCATCCAGTGCTGAGTCAGGCCCTGGGCATGGGTGGGGATGAGGTGCCTGGTGTGGCCTGTGTGGGAGGCCTCAGTGGAGACAGGGAAGGGAGGGGAGGTGACCCTGGAGCCCCCAGCCTCTTTTGTAGCACCCAGCAGGTTCTGATGCCACCATTGGAATATTCGAAGGTGAATGTGCTCCTGGGCGACTGTCGTTGGAGAGAATGGTGTGCCACCTTTGCCCAGTTCCCGCAACTCCTTGTGGGACCTTCCCTGCCCCCACAGCTGTTAGGGAAAAAAACAAAAACAAAAGCAAAATCAGAGCCACCTGTTCAACGCTGGGCCCTAACTTGAGAAGTCCTCACGCTTGGAGCCAAGGATGAGGCCCTGCTGGGGCAAGGTCCTGTGGTGCTAGGGTTGGCAGTGTGGGCCTCAGAGCCAGCACAACTGCCTGGGTTCAATTCCCAGCCTGCCACTCAGCAGCTTTGCCATCTTGGACAAGTGACCTGGAGGGAACCTCAGGGAAGCATTTTAAATGGTGCCTTGTACTTATTGTATGTGACAAAGGACAGTCTTGGCTGTTAGTACCTATGGCTCAGGAAGGCTCCGAGGCCAGGCCTGCTTGGAAGATGGATTCCCTCAAGTCCCGTCGTGGCTGGGCAGGGGTGAGCAGGGTTATTTCTGGTGGCTCCCAGTTAGGTCTGGGGAGGAACTCATCACATGCTGGCTCTTGGTACCCAGGAGACTTCCCATATTCTGAAGATCTCAGGGAAGTGTCACCAGCCGGGAAACTTGTGCTGCTTCCTGTTGAAGGCCAAGCTGTTTCCCAGAGTCATTACCCTGCCCCTCCCTGGCCCAGTTCACCAGGATGATCCCTCACAGGTCAGACCTACATGGAGGGCGGGTGGGGGCCCAGGGTTGCTGGTGGGTCAGCCCCATAGAGTCACCAGTCTCCCTAACCCAGAGAAAGTGGCCAGAAAAACCCAGACCAAAACAGAACCAAGAAACCCTTCAGATCAAAGGTGAACCCTTCCCCTCACCGCAGTCCAAGTGGCTGTTTGTCATCCTTCCAAGTTCGTGGATGAAATGTGCTTAGCAATAAGGCCTAGTCAGAATTAAATCATTAAAGGAGAAAAAAAATGAATTACCCTTTTGGAAAAGCTCCCCGTGGTGGCTTTGTTACCGTGATGACAGCCAGATTTCTACCACCATCTTGTCGCCACCAGAGGTCTGATCTCAGCCAAGGGCTTGCATCAGAGCTGACCGCCATCTCCGACCTCTGAATGGTGGGGGGTCCGGCGGATGTTTCCTGAGGTTTCTGCCTTGGAGCCTTCACGGAAGGTCCTGCTCTTGCCAGATGTGTCTGCTGATTGGAGGCTATTAAATTTCTGCCCCTTGGATACAGTCATTCAACTCTCATTAACTCTGGGGGGAATCGGGGCCTTTGTAACCTCAGACAATTTTTTTAAAATTATTTATTTATGTTTTAAAAACTATGTTTAGTTGTCCATGAATACAATACCTTTATTTTGTTGGTTTAGTTTTATGTGGTGCAGGGGATCGAACCCAGGGCCTCGCATATGCTAGGCAAGCGCTCTAACACTTGAGCTACAACCCCAGCCCACAATTGGAGTTTATATGTTCTGCTGAGACTGGAAAGTTTGGGATACTCTTCAGTGTGGTGACCCTCGGCCAGACCCGTCCTTCCACAGTTCAGGACCCCAGTTTCCTCTTGGTGTCCTGGTGGACTTGGGCAAACCTGGTTGGGCGCTCTAAATGGTTGACGGGAATATTAATTTCTAGTGTTGTTCTGAATCTTTCCCATGGAATTAAAGGATTTTGAAGTCCCAGAGGGACTTTGAAATCTTCTGGCCCTGTGGTCTTGATCTCTAGGACACCTCTGAGAAGCCTGAGTAGGCTGTGGCTGCTCAGCCCAGGGAGTTGTGTCTGTGTGTAGGACATGCCTTGTGTTGGTGGTGGACTCCAGGGAAGAGCTTCTACTTGGGTCCCTTTCTTTCTTCCTTTCCCACTTTAGAGACTAGGCGCTGAGGCCCTGAGAGGGAAAGACACTTCCTAGGGTTCTTTTTGATGTAGCCTCATTTTCCGGCCTGGTCACATTGTCTGGCTCTGTTTGTGGAGCCCCAGACCAGCCCCCACAGGTTTGATGGGAGGTGGAGGAGATGCCTCCCCAGGCCCGAGACCTCACAGTCCCCCCAGACACACACCACCCAGATCATCTCAAACTGGGCGCATCTTAGTCCTGGAAGGCCATTGAAGAGAGTGGCTGGGCCCTGCCCCAGTGTTTCTAATCCTGTAGATCCAGAGCAGGGCCCCAAAATTGTCATTTCTAGTGTATTCTCGGGTGCTGCTGCTGCTGCTACTGCTGCTGGTTACCATCACCCCAGGGGATCTCAGTCACAGAGATAACAGGGTGCCGAGGGGAGCTGGCGATGCTCCAGCCCCAGCGGCCATCTGAGCACTGGCTGGGCTGGTCCAATCACCAGACCCTGTGTTTCTGGGGACTGATGGAAATGAGAGGCAGAGTGTTGAGGTGGTCCTTGCAGTGAGGATGAGCCTTCCCTTCCAAAATCCTCTTGAGAAACACTGAAAACTTTCACTCCCTCTCCCACTGGTGAGCTTTTCTTCTCTCACAATACACTTGAAAACACACCAACCAAAGCTTTGCCTGATTGCTCTCTATGTATGTGTTTTGTGTGGCTGGGATGGAACCCAGGGGTGCTTTGCCACTGAGCTATACCCCAGCCCTTTTTAATCTTTTTATTTGTTTTTTTTTTTTTTTTTGGTTCCGGGGATTGAACTGGGGGGGGGCGGGGCACTTGACCACTGAGCCTCATGCTCAGCCCTGTTTTATTTAGAGACAGGGTCTCACTGAGTTGCTTAGCACCTCATCTCACCGTTGCTGAGGCTGGCTTTGATCTCTCAATTCTCCTGTCTCAGCCTCCTGAGCCGCTAAGATTACAGGCATGTGAAACCAGGCCCAGCTCCTTTTTATTTTTTGAGACAAGATCTTGCAAAGTTTGGAGGCTAACTTTGAACTTGTGATCCTCCTGCCTCAGCCTCCTGAGTCAATGGGATAACAGGTGTGTGCCACCACTCCTGGCTCAGAACACCTTTCTTAAACATTTATACTCTGACACTTGAGCAGAATATGGGGGTGTACTAGAGTCACGTAGTGCAAATCCCAAGTGCCTTCTGTGGTTCTCAATCCAGTCCCAAATTTATCCACCTGGGACATTTTTATCCTGAATTGGGCCTCCTCCTTCGTTCATCAGGGACTTTGGTTCGCACCTGCTGCTTTCTTTCTTTCTTTCTTTTTTTTAAATGTGTAACTGAACTTTATAAATACTTTTAATTTCCCTTATTTTGATAAAGTCATTCAGGCACATAGTGAATACAATACACAGAGGTATACAATGAAAAATAATCTCTCTCTGCTCCCTACAGGTCTCCTTCCAAGGCGGCCACCTGTCCCCATGTAGAGCCCTGCTGTATTTTTGTGTTCATGTGGGAGTCTTCTGAGGATGCACAAGCACCAATGTACAGTCACATCCTTATGGGTCCCTTAATGTGCTGGATACCTGTTGCTTTTACAAAGTGGCACCGAAGCTTGGCAATGTCAGTTCATGGGGAGGTGCCCTTTGGATCCTTTCTATTTTGCAGTGCTAGGGAACATGCCAGGGCCTCACACATCCCCGGCCTTTTAAAATTTTTACTTGGAGACAGGGTCTCACTAAGTTGCGGAGGCTGGTATTGAACTTGCCTTCCTCCTGCCTCAGCCTCCTGAGTCACTGGGGATGACAGGTGTGGGTCACGGCACCTGGCTGCCTGTTTTTCTAAAGGGCTGGAACATTCCATTGTGTCTGAGGACTGGCTCTTCGTGGACACATAAGTTGTCCAGTTCTGGGCACAACACACGGTGGCTGAGTGGGATCCTCTTGTTCCTGCTCTGCTCCAGGAGGGGTCTGTGGAGCCAGGCAGTGTGGACAAAGTGAGTTTTCCCGTCAGATAGTGGAGTGGACCCTTCTGGAAAAGCCGTTTTCCCTGGGGGACGGTCCCTATTCCCGGAGCCTATCCCGGGTGCTGTCTTTTAGCTTTCTCACTAACTAGCTCCTGTGCCTTGGGGGCAACCCTTTGGGCTTTCTGGGCCTCCACTTGGTGTCTGTGGGATGCTTCCCCAGACCCTGGGCTCTTCACACTCAGGACACCTGTGGTTAGCATTGAATTTCCTCTACCGATCATTGGTTCAGAACTTTCTGGAAGCCTGGTGGTGAGGCAGGAGTGTCCACTCATTGTCAGGCCTTGTGCACTTGCTAGAGGCTGCCTGCCCTCCCAAAACAAAGGGAGCTGCTTGGAGGCCTTGCAAACAGTTTTGTTGGACCCTGAAGGCGGGAGATGTGGTGCACGGTGATGTGCGTGCTGAGACTTGCCCGATGCTGTGTTGCAGGAGGAACATTTTTGGGGATTGTCATCTTCTCATATCTCACATCCCATGCCAGCCCCAGTGTGCAGGGTGCGCTCTCCACTCTCCTGTGTCTGTAGCTTTTGCTCTTCAGGATGCCAGCTGTCCTAAGCTGTGCCACTATTGTCCATGAGGCGAGGAGGCCACCTTGGGGCATGGGACGGACTCTGGTCCTTGCAGGTGAAGACTGAATGGATGGTGGTAGAAGGATACACTGAGATTCTGACTGGGAGGGAGGCTGGAAATGAGGGGGGTCTGGTAAGAGGGGAGCTGGTACTTTTCAGGCAAGAATCAATAAGAATGTAATTTGTATTGATTTCTTGGGAGGAAGGTCTCAGGGTGCCCACTGCTGACAGCTGGGAGAACTTTCCGGTGGGCAGGGTCATTCTTTTTACCCGTTCTGTTTTGTCAGCTGTGAGCATACACAGCAGCTCTCCTTTTCTGCACAGAGCAAGGTGCTGTCGTTGCCCTGGTGTGTGGCCTTGGTGACCTGCCTTTCATTGTTTCCTGATTGGCCATTTTTGTGGGTGTGGAAAAGTAGTTCGTGGGCATGCCAACAGCGCTGGTGCCTATGTGATGCCTCCCAGGAGCTTGGTTGCAGCCTTGTCAACAGGGACACAGTCAGGAACGGTGATGAGTGTGCAAGGTGGAGACTCATTCTCACCCCAACGTGGGATTGTTGCTCAACTTTATCTGGTGTCATCACGGCCTGTGGGCCCTGAACTTTTTTTGTTTTGGCAACCAACCAAGATTTCATAAAAATATCACGTAGGAGTGGAGTGTGGTGGTTCATGCCTGTAATCCCAGCTCATTGAGAGGCTGAGGCAGGAGGATCACAAGGTCAAGATCAGTCTGGGCAAGACCCTGTCTCAAGATAAAATTTTTTAAAAAGGGTTGGGGATGTAGCTCAGTGGCAGACTGATCCTGGGTTAAATCCATAGTACCCCCCCCCCAAAAAAAAAAAGTCATGCACATCCTTGACATTGGAAAATAAAAAGGGGGGCAAGTATATTCTAGGAGGAGGAGTATACTTGCAAATGACCTTGAGTTTGGGGAAAAATGTACCACATCACATTCACCCTCCTGTGGGACCCTGGCCACCCTGGTGCTTTAAAATGTGTGGTCCTGCGTGTCTCTTTCAGATCCTGGCTCTGCAGACAGAACAGCCCAGAAAAGAAAGTTCCCCAGCCCCCCACATTCTTCCAATGGCCACTTGCTGCAGGACACCTCTACAAGCCCCATTAAAAATAAAAAGAAGCCCAGCTTACTGAGCAGCAACAGCAAGAAGCAGGTAAGGCCGCGGCTGGGTGTGGCATGGCAGTGGGCACACCAGCGGGCAGCAATGCTCCGTTCCTTGGAGCCGGGTTTGGCATCTGTTCAGCAGGCTGCCCTGGCGCTGCCTGTCATTTGCATGTGTAGAAAGGGCAGCTCAGAGGGGCCTGTGTGAGGTTTCCAGCGGGTTCTCAGATCTGCTTGGGGCAGAGCAGTGACCCAGAGGAGATGAGGATATTCTTCTTGAGGGACTGGGGCTTCTCTTTGGCTTCATGTCTCCGTACTCTTAGGATGGTTTTCCTGGGTGGCCTGAGGATTTCCCCTGCTGACCAGTGCTGGGCGACACAGCTCCCTGCCGGTCTCGTTTTCTCATCTGTAAAATGAAGGGTGTGGGCCCCTAGTAGAGGCATGGCCCAAGGGTCACCTCCCCTTCTCTTGAGCACAGGCTCCCCATCCCCTTGGCTGACAGGATTGTCAGAGGCTCGGGAAAACCTCCTCACCATCCTGGGTCTCATCTAGGGAACCTTCTGGCTATAAAATTCTCTGGTGCAGCTTATACATTCCAAATAGGGAACGTGAGAGCACTGTGGACTCACTGGCAGAAGTGTCCACCCCTGTGTGGACTGCGAGGTCAGGGGGTCTTGAGTGGTTCTTGAGCAGCAGTTCCTGGTGACCTGCTCATCTGTTCTGTGCATTATCACGCACTGGAGTGGGCCCTGGGGATGGAAGGTTGAATTAGATGAGATTGATGCCTTCACAGGAGGAGCCCTAGCCATGTTAAGTGCCCCGGCCTGGGAGAGGCGTGTGTCCAGCGTAAATCTATTTTCATTCTCAAAATTATAGAGTGAACTGCCAGCTCTGGCCTTGGCCCTGTGACTGTGGGCACGTGGACCTCCATGGCTCTGGTTTCCTTGTTCACGGAACTGGGTGTCCTGGCGCTGCTGTTCAGGCCCTGGGGCTGTCATGGAGACTCATGGAGCTAAAGGACAGGGCAAGAGCAGAAACGAAGAGCACAGCCAGGCTCCGTTGCCAGAGTATGATCTGAGATTTGACCTTGGAGGCAGGCTGTTTCTGTGGCAGTGTCCTAGACCCTGATGTCTGGTGTCGACCCAGTCACGTGTGGCTCGTGAGCCCTCGAAATCAACCAGTGTCAGGGAGCAACTTGGTTTTTTTCATTCTGTTTAAAGTCACGTGGCTGCCTGTGGCTGGTAGCTGCCTCATCAGTTAGAGATCCCATCGGAGGAGGAGCAACTGGGGGATCCCACGTGTGTTTTCAGGGGCACTTGGAAAAAACTACTTGGGGAAATAAAAAGCATTGATGATGATACCAAAGCAGTGAGCCATATCTCTATCCCTTTTTATGATTTATTCATTCATTGATTCATTCATTCATTCATTTATGGTGCTGGGGATTGAACTCAGGGCCTTGTGCATGCAAGGCAAATACTATACCCACTGAGCTGTATCCCAGCCCCCTTTTTACGTTTTATTTTGAGACAGGGTCTCAGGAGTCGCAGAGGGCCTTGCTATGTTGCTGGCCTGACTTTGAACTTGTGATCGTCCTGCCTCAGCCTCCTGAGACTCTGGGATTATAGTGTGCACCACCACACCTGGCCCCAGACCTTTTTAAAGAAAGTTTTTTGAGACAGGGTCTCACTATGTTGCCCAGGCTTTCCTCGAACTTGAGATCCTCCTGCCTCAGCCTCCTGAGATGGAATTACAGTTGTGAGCCAAGCTTTTTCAATCACACCACTAGTTACCAGGATGTTTGATGCTTCCCATGGACTTGATCATAGATTTAAATAGGATTCCATATTGGAGTGTAATGGTGGTTTTCCTAATGAGTTTCTTTTGAGTGATTTTATGTGTTTGGAGGATGGCTTCCCTGTATTTCTGGTGTCCCTGGACCTGCCACAATCTCATCTTCCTGTGTGGTTTGTAATGAAGGCTGAGGCTCTCTGGCAGCTCCAGGGGCCTAAAGTGTTCAAGAGATGTGACTTGAGGAAGGTTCTGGTTGGTTCACGACTTTGTGCCTTAGGGATGGCCTTAAAAATGAAAGATCATTTTTTGGTCACTCAAATCCAATTGCTATATTCTCTAAGTGCCTACAGTACGAAGACTCCCAGGGCAGATCGCACACTTCTGTTAGCTTTGTAAACATGAACTTGTGTACGTTGGGCTCTTAACCATGGGGACAACATTGGTGATGGTGGCACCGTGTTAATTCCATACATTCTATCCTCTCATTTGAACACAGCCCCATAATCCCGTGACGTTAGGTACCTTACCCTCATTTTACAAATGAGAAAACTGAGGCTCAGAGGTGGGGAGACCCCTCCAAGGTCATGCGGCTATTTAGCGGTAGTTAATATTTGTACCTACATAGGCCAGGGCCACCTGGTGACTCTGAGACACTAGTGTTCAGTCTGTGGCCTTTTAAAATGGGAGGGAGGAAAGACCCTCATAGTTATCCAAAGACCTGCTAATGTTGTGGACAGTAGAGGAACCGCAGCTAGCTCGACTGTTTAGCAGATGTGAAATGCTGTGATTTTCTTGTGCTGTTATTGATGTACTTGTTCAAATTCCTCTTGAGAATGCACATTTGTTTTGAAACCAAACCTGTCTTTCTTGCCTACATTTCAGTCAGAACTAAGACATGGTCCGTTTTACTATATGAAGAAGCCACTCACCACAGACCCTGATGATGTTGCACCACAGGATGGACGGAATGATTTCTACTGCTGGGTTTGTCACTGGGAAGGCCAAGTCCCTTGCTGTGAGCTCTGTCCCCGGGTTTATCACACTAAGTGTCTGAGACTGACATTGGAACTAGAGGGGGACTGGTTTTGTCCTGAATGTGAGGTTAGTTCCCAAGGAATGAATACATTACCTGCTTTGTTTCCTATCTCTTCTCTTCCTTGACTTACAAACTTTCCAATGATCCAGATAAGGAGAAAAGAGACATTTCTTGTATCTCACCTGCTTTGTCCTGGCCACCCCCCTTTTGGTCCAGCATCTGCCCCTGGCTGCTGTCCTGCAGCTCTTGGAGAAATGATCACATGGAATATTGTCTGGGTTCTTCTTCAGTCTTTGAATCACTTTGACATCTGCTGCTACCTTTCTTTTTCTGGAATGTACGTCTTACATGATAACTTTTGAACTGTTAACAGTTCACACGGTCTGAAACACTCTCGCGCAGCTTCTCTTGGGTGTGCCCTGCTGTGTCATGGGGTCAGCAGCCGCCACCAACCTGGGATGCCCAGTTTGGGTCCTGTGTTCTGGGTGATGGCCGTGCCATCTGAGTCTTTCTTTCATGCAACAAGTATTTCTAATGGAGATAGGATAGTGCTCAGAAAAGTAGGCATGGATCACTTTCCTTTTAACAGAAAAGGACATAAGTGAAAATAAAGTTAGAAATAATGAGTTTGAAGAAAGGTGCAAATTGAAGATGGGGAGTAGGGAGTTCAGGAGCCACAGGGTGTTCCATTTAAAGTGTCCAGGCCTGGAAGGTCCCCCTGAGATTTGAGAAGGACCTGATGGAGGTGGGCCCTGCCACCCTCTGGGGGAATCTTCTGGGCAGGGGTGCGGCCTGGGCAGAGCAGGGGGACAGTGAAGGCAGCATAGGTTTTGTGGGTAGCCAAGAGCTGCTTGAAGCTAACCAGTTCCTGGACTTGCAGGGTTCTGAGGCGGTGTCTGTTCTTGGCCACTCTGGACTAGGAGGCTCTTTTGAATGCTAAAAAGAAGAGAGTCATCTGAAAGTCATTTGGTGTAGAATGTCTCTTGGATCCCAAGGCACGTTGGCCTCAGATTGCACATGAAGACGCGTCTGGGGAGCCCTGGAGGGGCTGCCCAGATGTTTTCTGTGGAAAAGAAAACAAGTCACAGGTAGTGTCCCTGCAGCCACTTCTGTGCAGGGAAAGAATGAAAATAGAAAATAGGTGAAAAGAAATCAGGCATCGAGTCGGTCTGGTGAAGACCCTGGGATGGCACTCTGCCTCTGAAATGGCTGGAAGGTGGCTGCTGGTTGCCTTGGTCACTCTTCCATGGAGACTGAGACGGGCTGGGCATCGCCCACCCATGCCTGCCTGTGTTTGGAGCCAGATCTTGTTCTGCTACACCTAGAGTGAGACCTGGAACCTCCACCAGTGTCCTTTGGTCCTAAGCGACTGTTCCCATTTCATCCCATTGCAGAACAGGTAGTGGTTCCCCTGGGACGCTTCCTCTGCAGGGAGAGCTCCTTCAAACTGTGCCTGAAACAGTGGGGTTTATTATCAGCATGTGTCGGAAGGGCCCAGAGACGGGGCCAGTCCCAGCTGGTGCCCAGTCAGGCCCTTTCCATCTCATTCTGAGACCATGTGTCCCCCTCAAGGCCCCTAGGTGGGCTCCAGTGGCATGTGTGCATAGACAAGAGTCCTCTAAGAGAAAGACACTTCTGGCATCTCTTTGTCAAGCAGAAGGATTTTATCCTCATTCTCCAGCTGATTTATCCTGGCCTCAGGGTGAGCTTCCGATCCTCAGTTCCTATGCAACAAAGGCTTCCTAAGGGCTTCATGTAGCACTTCCAGGCAGTGCCAGCCAGGAGGTAGGAGCAGGGGGCGAGGGAGTGAGGGACAGTTGGGCATGTAACTCGAGTGTTCTCCTTGGATGGAGCCCAGCAACAAACTGCAATTCAAACAATCAGGAGTTCTGCGTGCACGATCCACAGCCTGATTTTCTTCCAGGGTCGCCTGGTAAGGTAGGCTGCTGGCAAGACTAGCTCTTCTGGCTCTGGTAGCCCAGGGATGAAATGCATGTATCATGCAGCCTTTCTAACTTCCTAGTGACTCGTGGGTGGTCCTTCTCCTCAACAACCAACCAGAAACATCTGAGAATTCACAGAGAAGTGAAGAGTGGAAACAGTCCAAATTATCCAAGAAAACTTATCCACGCTCCTTTCACAGATGGCTGAGGAACATTGCATGACTTAGGAGCAGATGCTATTTTTGTTGTTGCTGGGACATGGGCCTTCTGAATCCCCGAGATATGGTATCACAGTCCCATGGCAGAATCCACTTTCCTTCATTTCTCTCTGTCTCCTCTTTGATGGGACTTTCCTTTGTGAAATGACATCTCTTGCCTGTGTGGACAGACAGGTAGATTCTGCCCTTTGGAAATGTGCCCATGAATCCCAAGTGAGTTCACATCAGTGCTGATGAACAATGGAGTCCTATTAATTATTAGTCCACTCCCACCCCTGTGTTCTTCCTGCAGGGAGCCCTGTCTCTTGCCATCAGACAGTGCTGGGCCACGTTCCTGCACGATAACTCTGAGTCTCAAGAGGCTTGAGATAAGCAGCTGATGAAAGTTCATCTTGGGAGGAGATCCCTCCCCCGAATGCATCGGTGACCTTCCCATTCACATCCCCTTCTTGAGAACCAAGGTTGGGATAAGGATGCTTTTCCAGATTCCCATCTCCCCCAACCTCCCCCAGATCCTGTTGTCTCTCTGAGCTGGAGACACTTGCTTGTAAGGTAGTCAGTGGGCTGGTTGCTTTCTAATGTCTACCCACAGATCCAGTATATTTTGGTCTGGTAGTTTGGAGTCCTTGCCAAGGGAAACAGCTATTCACATTTAGATGGGAATCTCTTTTTATGTGTATGTTAAAAAAAAAGAAAAGAAAAAGTAGAAGGAGAACAAACCCGTGGCTCTGTGATTTTCTTTTTTCTAACTGGATGTGTGTGTATGATTTTTGACTCGTAGAAGATTGCAGTAGCAGAGTGCATTGAGACCCAGAGCAAAGCCATGACAATGCTCACCATTGAACAGCTCTCCTACCTGCTCAAGTTTGCCATTCAGAAAATGAAACAGCCAGGGGTAAGAGGATCGGTCCACCAGTATAAACGTAAATGAAGATAAGACTCCATTTAGTTCTGTTAGCAGCTTTCCACATTGCTTGTCATCTTTGCTTTTCAGATCCCTCTCCAGGCTCTTTGGACTTGTCTTGTGTGTCCCCACTTTAAATCTGTCAAGTAAACATCAGGTACAGTGACATTCAGTGAGTTCTCTGTAGTGAGCTCTCCATGTCCCCAAGAAGCTTAGTCAGGAAATAACACGAGGTCCAGTAGTCAGTGGGGCCTTAAAGTCCTGATGGGTTGAGAAGTAGAACTTCACAGCCCCTTGGCCCTGAGGGCTGTCTTCTCCTTCCCTCAGCATGGATGGAATTCCACTTCAGGGAGAGGAGGGCATCCCAGTTTATTTATAACTGAGGTCTGGTGTGGAACCAGGGAGATTTCCATAATGGGTGAGAAGCTGGTTAGTTCCATCAATTGTGAAATGAGTCCTGCTGCACAGCCTTTTCTACTTTTGGAAACTGTATGACAGCAAGGCTGCCAGGCTTGGCTGTGCCCTCACATGGCACCCTGCTGGGAGTGCCCACCATACCATAGGTATATCTGTTATTATTATGATAGTTTTCAGGAAAATGGCAGAGGAATACCTTCTGTCAAAAATAATATGATGATACTATGGACATATTATGACTCTGTCTCCCTCCAGATAAATCTAAAGAAGCTTAAGGATGGGTCCCTCCTTTCTGATTTGCTTTCTAAGTCAAGTGCATATGCAGTAGCCGAGTATCTCACTGCTTTTAGTTACCACTGTGGTTTTGTTTCTTTAAACAAATAAAAGTTTTGCTTTGAGATATTCTGAAATTTGTTATGATGAAGAAATTTAAGATGTGCCAATTAGATATTGAATTAGTTACCTATTTATCTCTTGAATTAAATCTTATTTGATGGAAGCAAAACTGTGCTAGTAGCTTTAGTTTAGTTAAAAAACAAAAATCTTGGGCCAGGGAAGGAGCTTGACTAATATGTGTAAGGCCCTGGGTTCAATCCTTGGAACCATAAAAAAAGAAAAAATCTTTTTTTTTTTTTTTTTTTTTTTTTTTTTACTGTGGAGTGATTGAACATGATGACTATTTACAAAAAGAGCAGAGTGTGTAGATTTGTCAGCTCTGTCAAGTTTTAAACCAAAGGACAAATAGAAGAAAGCTTTACTTTCTAACTCTGTTTGATGTAAAGTCGCTGATTTTGTTGTAACCTCCATTCTGGAACTCGGGGCCTGGCACACGCTAGGCAAGTGCCTTTCCCATGAGCCATACCCCTGTTCTGGAGAATTTTTTAAATTTACAGTGGTCAAACTTTCATTCTGGATTGAAGTGAACACAGGTGATTGCAAAAGGAAATCTGTCCCGATTCTTTGCTTAGGTATAATTTGGTATTTAATTAAATCTTTGGATTTAAAAAGAAAAAAAATTGTTAAGTAAATACCACCCAAACATCTTGAGCTGAGTCAAGTTAGAGCTTAAGCAAATGGGTGAAGGTAAAGACTTTTTGCACACTTCTTGTACTGAAGGCAATTTGACCTCTGAAAACAGGAACAAAATCTCACTGTCTAGATTTCCCATCGTATCAGAAACATCTGTTGGCACCCAAGAGACTTTGTCTGATGTGTGATCTTTAGGTGTGAACACATTTTCCCCTCAAGTCAGTTTTGGTGATGAGTCCCTCTAGGGTGTGGCCTAGCTCTAAAGTGACCCCTGGTGTATTGGGACTCTCAGCCTCACTGGAAGGGGACAGAACCTGCTACTTGGGTGTATGTTGATAGTAAAGCAAATAACAAAACCCCAACCAGTTCATCTGGGCCCAGGATTATCAACATCCAGGCAGCCTGGGATGGTGGCCAGTGGAGCTGCCTACGGCCTCCTTCCTGGCAGTTTCAGAGAGGTTCTCTTCAGCTTCTCAGTCCCGGGTTAGTTGAAGCGTGGTCTTCCTGGCCTGTGCATGTGTACCTTTTCTCTTACAGATAGATGCATTCCAGAAGCCCGTTCCCTTGGAACAGTATCCGGGCTACGCAGAATATATTATCCACCCCATGGACCTTTGTACACTGGAAAAGGTTGGCCTCTGTCTCAGAGCCTGCCGTGTTGGCCCCGGGTGTGGAGATGCCAAGGCAGCCCCTCACATCCAAGTTAGATCAGTTTTATTTGGAGAGAAGAACTCTTGGTCCTATCACTTCATTTCCTCTGTGATGTCCTTCCAGGGGATGAGTGGGTCCTGGGAGATGTGCTCACTGCTCTTCTGGGAGTGATTCCAGCTTCTACCTGAAAGAGCCATACTTCTAGGAATTAGCGATTTGATCGATTCGCGCCTTACGTTGTCTTCTCTTTCTTTCGGAGGTGCTAATGAGAGCAACAGAAAGGAAGAAGAGAACATTTAAGTAGCTGGAAAACCTCCAGATTAGCAATAAGGACGTGGTTTCTTAGAATCGACTTCTCAGCCAATAAGGCTATTTTGTTAATGCCTGAAGGTGTTTTTCCAAGTTCATGCTAAAATTCCATGGTGAAAATTATATTTGTAACACTTTAGATTGTGCACACCACCATGGTGCTTATCTCAATATGGGTAATGAAAAGTATCTATGAAGAGGACACATTACTGGGTGTGTTGGTGCATGCTCGATATCCCAGTGACTCAGGAGGCTGAGGCAGGAGGATTGCAAATTCAAGGCCAGCCTCAGCAACTTAGTGAGACCCAGACTCAAAATGATATAAAAAATGAAAAGAAGGACTGGGGATGTGGCTGAGTGGTAGGGTGCCCCTGGGTTCTTCCCTAGTAGAAAGGAATACATCTTTCATACTGTTGGCATAGTGTTGTGTGAAGTGGGGATGGTGATGTGTGCTTCCTTGAGTTTTCAGGAGGCTCATGTGAGACCTGTCTTAATAATAAATAAAAATAGAGAAATCGACCTCTTCTTGGAAGGAACCTCTTAACAAATCACAGCAGCGTTAAGATGAGAAAATTCAAGTTCCTGTGATGAATTCAGTGGTGCATTTTAAAATATAGGGTCATAGATCTCCCAGGATCATGGAAAATGAGTGGACGAGCCTTAATCAATTTGCCAAGTGGTGGTGAGAGGATGGTGTGAGGGGCAGGTGGTTCTGCTGGGTGTGGAGGCACTGCTTACTGTTCCCCATGGCTTCTCTTCCCAGAACGCTGAAAAGAAAATGTACGGCTGCACGGAGGTCTTCCTAGCTGACACCAAGTGGATCTTGCACAACTGCATCATTTATAACGGGGGTGAGTGGCCGCGTGGCGCCTGGAGATGGCACCCTGCTCCTGGTGCACGCTCTGCTGCCCCTCGCAAAAAACTGGGCTGCAGAGTCGAGCATCAGGCTTCGGGGGACCGAGGACACTGTGTGCGCATGGCCGTGGCGTGTGAACGGGGCCAGTGCGACCTGCATGGTAAGGCATGAGCCGACGTCCACGGCTCAGTGATGCATGGTTTGTGCTCTGATGGTCATCTCCAAACTCCATAATTGAATGGAGGTAGAAATGTCAGGGAAATGCACAGGTTCATGAGCACGTTCAGTGACTTGGACAGGCGCAGGGCCACACCTCAGGTCAGGTGGAGGCTTTCCAGTTCACCTCCTGTTTCTGCTGGAGCTCCACTCTCCCTCGGTGGCCTAGAGTTCCAGATGGATGGGTTGGGGGTGGTCTCGGTGTCAGGGCGCATACCCTGCAATGGGATTTGGGGTGACCGAGGATTGTGCCTTTGTTGTTGCCAGGTGATCTTTTGCGTGGTCAGCACTCTTAAGTTGGTCTCTTCCCCTGGTTAATGATGGATGATCCTGTGGTCTCCATCTTTGGGTTCCGTCTTTGGGTTGTTGTGGAGGAAGCTGCAGGGGACTCCTGTGGTGCCCTTGGTCTGGGCAGGTGTGCCTGTGGCTCTTGGCTGTCTGGTGCTGGACCATCGAGTGGGTCATCTTAGATTCAACAGCACTCTTGTCCCAGTGTGTGTGCATAGGGCTCATGTCAGTGTGCTCCACGGGTGGGCATGTGCTGTCCAGCCACCCCACATCCTGGCCCTGCCTAGCTTTTTGACCTGGCCATTCTTGGGTGACTTGAAATGTCTCCTATGTCACCAGGGGTTTTAATTTGCCTTTTTGCCATGGCCAGGAACTGAGTCATCATTTCATGAACTTCACAGTGATTTGTGTGTTGGGGTGAAACCCCCCGACTGTTCACTCAGAAGCTGGGCTGTTGCGCTCTGTGGCTCACTGCCGGCATCCTTGATGTGCTGGATCTAGTGCTAACCGTTGTGTTCGTGGATTTGGAGGATGGAGCCTTCTGGCCAGAACAGAGGAGAATTTCCACTGATTTTCCTCTGGGCACCTTCCTTAAGGTTCTTTTCTGTCTGCCTCTGGCTGGGCAGGTCTCCCTGTCCAGCCCACCTGGTGCCTTGGTCTGCAGATCAGCTTGTGCTTGTGCTGGGTGGTACCTGCTGCTGACCTTCCACCTGTCTCTGCCTCCCTGGCCTTCCCTGTGACTCGGCCTTTCGGCCTCTAAGACTCCTTCCCTGAGGCCCCAGGCCATTGGAGGTCTCTGTCCTGGGCTCTCTACTGGCCTGGCTGCATCACCACAATTCCCAAGTGGTGCTGTTTGTATGTGCTTGATCTCTGCACCCAGAGGTGACTCCTCCAAGGGTGGGTCTGCCTCTTGTTCCCTGCGAATGAGTGGCCAAGTGCAGACCCTCAGCCAGCATTCCAGGGGAGCTCCCTGAGCAGGAGTCTGCATACTGCATTGTCAACTCCTCAGCCGCAGGGCCGGGAGAAAGGGGAGGCACTGGGCAGTGAGCACAGAGTGGCCCATCGAGCATGTGAGAGAGTGAGTGGGGTCAGGGTGAAGGAGAAGACCAGCAGCCACAGGGATGGCCAGTGGGGTGAGGGGAGAAGGGACTCCTGGTTGTTTGGAGAGGCTGCTGTTGGTAGCTCCCGGGGCTTGTTGATTACAGGGTCATCAGACTTAAGGAGTTGGATATCTAGGTCGCGTGTGTGTATGTGTGTGTGTGTGTGTGTGAGAGAGAGAGAGAGAGAGAGAGAGAGAGAGAGAGAAATCTCTTTGTCAACAAATGTAAAACTTCTGAAAACATTCTAAGGGTCAAAGAAAACATGATTTTTTAACCACCTCATCCCCTGCTTTAGAGGAAAGGTAAGGAATTGGGTTAGACCTGTCCAGGTCTCTGCTTTGTTATGAGTGTCCTGGTGGAAGAACCTGACCTTGCCTTAGTTGATAATTGAGCTTGAACACTCTTCCCTGCTTGCTGTTGTGGCTCCTGGAGGACTCTTTGGAAACCCCTGGCCCAGCCACGTGGTGACGTCCCCACTGCCTTCTTGGGTTGCTGCAGTCTGGGATGACGGGTACAGTAAGGCTCCTCTCCAGGACTTTTGAGCCTGTAGAAGATCAAAACTCCAAGCCTGTGGCTTGGAGTCAGTGTCCTTTCTGTCCTCCTAAAGATGAGGTTTGGGTGAAAGGTTCCATAGGGTGGCCAGGGTGTCCTGGAGAAGCTGTCCTACAGACCCCCACAGGCTGTGCTGGACCTCTTGGGTCTGTGAGCTGTGAGACTTGGTGTGGTGGGACAAGATGGCAACCAGAGTGACAGGGAGTGACGTTCTTTACCAGATCCCTTTGTAAGAATAGAAGCCAAGACCCGCCTTTGTGCATCTGTCCCTTCCTTCCTAAGCGGAACTGCCTGGGATGGCTGGGGAGCATCCATGAGGCACGTGCTTCTGTGCGTGTCCACAGAGAGAGAAAGTAAGATTTTCTAAACTGCCTTTTCACTTGAAGTTCAAGTACTATCTATTTTCTGGGTAACTGAACAATGGGAAGAACTAAATTTTTCATGGCTGTGTAGTATCCACGGACATTTTTTTTGTCATTTGAGTGGAACCTACTTGTGACAGCACTTTACCTAAGGTGACAATGCATGCCGTTGCCCCTCCGGCTTGGGGTGTCCCATCTGCTTCTGATGGTCACTTTGCACAATGTTTAGATACACAGTGACCAGGTTGGAGGATGTGAACAGGGCAGAGGGCTAGGTAGATGCTTCCTGGTTGTCTTCCAGAAGAGCTGTTACACCTCACACAGCAGCTCAGGAGCTGACAGCGGGGAGGTGGTCTTCCCTCACTGTGGTCACCAGTTTGCCTTTGTTGGATGACACGTGGCTGTGTGTAGTGTGCCTCTGGAAGAGCCCAGCAGCTGAGTGGAGTGGGAGGAGATGACCCCTCCCTTCATTACTCATGTCTTTGGTCACCTGTTAAGTCAATCGGTTTACAGTAAGTGGCCCCTGGCATGGTGATAGGTGATAGAGAAAATCGGGGCTGCTGACATGGAAGAGAGTAGCAGCAGCTCACCATGCAGTGGGGGAGCTTCAGGGCTTTGGAGCCTGGTTGCCTGGGTTTACTTCCTGACCCAGCCACGTTGGTGCTGGGCCCTTGGACAGGTTCCTCAACTTCTCTGGGCCTCATTTTCTCCTCCTGAAAAATGGTGATAACAAAAATCTCCCCTCGTTGGGCATTGTTGAGTCGATCCTCAGCGAGCACTCAGAAGGCCACCAGTCCTCAAGTCTTCGACAGCTGTTCACTTGTGTGGATACTGTGTCATCTGGCTCATTCCGTGTTTTTTATTAACCCTGGGATTGGATACCAATGGCACCCTTTTCCTTCCAAAGAAGAGGGGAGAATCAGGGAATATGGAGCTAGGAAATGGTGGCAGTGAAGTTGGATCAAGGAACTTCCTGGCTGTATATTCTGAGTCCGGAAGTTACTCGAGAAGTGTGCTGTATTCTGCAGGAAAGGGACAGGAAAGGAGTTTGATTTTGGGGTTGTTGTCACTGGAAATAAAGTAAGGATGGCATGATTAGAAATGGAAGTGGAGCATGGTGTGTTGGGGGACAGAGCAGCCGGAAGGGCTTGGAGAGCGGCGCTGGTACCAGGGGAGCTGAGTCCAGGGTGCATGTGACCTTGAGGTGCTTCAGGCATTTAAGTTTCATTGTTAGTTTCTCAAATTGGCATGACTGGTATTTGGGGACTGGGAACTCTTGGTCCAGGGAACAGCACCCCCCAGGTGTGACAATCCAAAATGCCTCAGACCTTGCCAAGTTCCTGGGGTGGGAGAGGGGTGAGGAACCTGCCTGCAGACCCAGTGCAGGGAAGTCTGTGGAAGCTTTTGAAGCAAGTTCAGATTTCTGCGGCTCTGGGTCCCACATGGGGAATGCGCTGTTGTGGGGCGAGAGTCCAGGCTGGATACCTGGGGTGTCCTTGGTCCATAATGTGATGGTGGTGCCAAGATTGGATCTATTTCCAAGGTGTTCCCACTGTGGCCCAAATCATTAAAATCATTAAGCAAACTATGTGTGTGAGCCTATAGTCCCAGCTCCTCAGGGGTGGGAGGATCCCTTGAGCCCAGGGATCAGGGACAGCCTGGGCAACACAGCAAGAACCCTGTCTTAAAAACCAAATCCAGCAAACAGCCAAATCACCAAAAAAAAAAAATCCCTGGACATTCAAATAAAAGCATAAACACTTTAAAAAGAAACCATCAAGCATTTATGAAGGCGTCCCAGATGTGAGGCTCCTGGTTGACATATTCTAATGTATTTTTGTTTTACAGATGAATGAAATTGAAGTATGTCCAGAATGTTATCTAGCTGCTTGCCAAAAATGAGATAACTGGTTTTTCGAGCCTTGTGTAAGTTGGAGTTACTTTCCTTATTTCATTTTCTGAACTCTGTCTTTGATGGCTCAGCCTTCTCCAGGAGGCTTAGGAGACGAAACTTTGGATGAAGTTTTAATATGTGTTTTTACTGATAAAATAACCTAGATAGAATAAGCCTCCTAGGCTGTTCGTGTGCGAGAACTAGTTAATCCAGGAGAATTGCAGAACCCAGAGTCAAAGGGAATTCAGAAGGAATATGGGATACAGGCAGGGGGAGGTGTGGAATGTGGGATGTGGGGGGACAGGACATGCATGATGTGGGTCACAGGGTGCATGAATAATGCTGAGAGTTTTGTGAATGTTGATGAGTGTGTCATCCACAAATCTTCTTGGGCCTGTTTTAAGAATGTTACAAATCTCTCATGGATTAATGTTATAGACTCTCTAGTCCATGGTGGTATTTTTTTCTTTCTTTCCTTTTTTTTTTTAATTAGCAAAGACCAAAGTTCAGCTTTTTATTGGAAATGTTAAGAGCTGTCAAAAAAACCAAAGCCTATGCTTGAACCTTGGATTCTTGGTATCCATTTTCTTCTCTGGGGCAGAGGGATGGAGGGGAGGGACCTCCTGCTGACACAGCACCTGCTGCTACAGCGCACCCACCAGCCCTGACGTTGCAAATGCAGCTCTCCAGTGTGGACATTGGCCAGGACCTTTGCAGACAAACCAGGCCAAAAAGATTCAACATTTACACCACCTGCCTCAACAAGGGTATTGATCTTATCCTCTGTGATAGTCACCTTGTCCTCGTGAAGGATGAGGGCAGAGTAGATGCCATCTCAGGGAAAGAGGCCATGGCAGGCTGCAAGGTGAAGTGAGATCTTCAGCACAAGTGGCCTTAGTTTCCTTGGAAGAACCGAGTACCTTGGTGGCATCTGAGGAGAGAACAAATCATGGTTCTTGCAGGATCTAAAGACACCTTGGTTTCTCACTGTGGATCTGAATTTCCAAAGTGGTGTTTATTTTTTCCCTCTGTGATGCTGGAGGTGAAAGCCAGGGCCTTGTGCATGTCAGATGGTATTTTGCAGAGAGAAGTGGTGTGAGGTGGATAGAGGGGGTGGGGATGGAGGGCTGGAAGGGCATGACCAGGCAAGTGAAGGGAGAATCAAAATGTGCCTATGTCCCTTCGGGCCTTTGGAGATAAACACCTGATAGCTGGGGCTCAGTGGTAGAGCACTTGCCTAGCACCTGTGAGGCCCTGGATTCTATCCCCAGCACCACATAAAAAAACTAAATAAACAAAATAAAGGTATTATGTCCATCTACAAATAAAAATATTTAAAAAATGAAAAGAATAAACAGCCTCTGCTGCCCTCTGTGCTGGCACAGGGCACATCAGCCCACACTTTGGGGGGGGGGGGAGCGGGCATCAGGGCTCTGTGTGGTGCAGGAAGGGGAGTGCCTTGCTCAGAACCGTCCAGGTGACAGCAGAGCCAGGACTCCAGCCTGGTTTTGTTGTCCTCGGATTCTGTCCCCTCCCCATTGGAGCCCTCCCCAGTTCTGTGCAGGCACCATGGCCCCCCTCTCTAGGGAACCCCACCGGGGCCTCTGTGGCTGCCTTCTCCCGGCTGTCTCGCCCTCCCCAGCCGGGAAGTGTGTCTCACTGCCAAATGTGTGCCAACTCTGGGTTCTGTTTTTCTTCTAGAGCAATCCACATCCATTGGTCTGGGCAAAACTGAAGGGGTTTCCATTTTGGCCTGCAAAAGCCCTGAGGGATAAGGACAGGCAGGTCGATGCCCATTTCTTTGGATAACACAACAGGTGGGCGTTAAAAACAGGCTTTGAATATGTAGCTTCACCAAACCTTTGACACTGTCATTGGATAAGAAAAGAGGTGGGGGGTATCACTATTATTTTTATTATTATTACCATTTTTAAAAGCTGATTTTTCCTCTTGTTGTTCACTGGTATGGCTGTGATTTGCTTACTGTCGTGATACCAACCCTTGATCTCGTAGTAGAAAAGGATTTCCTGTGCTGTGTTAAGCCTGATAATGTGTGGGCTTCAGTTTTTTTCCAGGTACATTAGAAAATAATCTTACTTTAGTGGATTTGTTGATCTAACTGGCATCGGAATGAATTCCCGGGCTATTTTAAGTGCTGCCGTCCTTTTCAATTTTTTTTATTTTTTCCATCGTAAATTAAATCTCTGTGCAAATTGCTTTTCAAAATAATGCTTTCAGGAATCAGATGTATTTTCCCAGATTGCTGGTAAATGAATCTCTTATCATCCTGCTGGGTAGTTCCCTCCTGTTCCCTTTTCTCTGGAAATTACCAGGGGCTTCTGTTTTGACAGGTGTGAGCCTCCCCTCCCAGCATCTCTCCCTCCCCATTTCCACCACACACCGGGAAGTGCCTTTCAGCTAATAGCAGTTCCCTTCAGGGCAGAGCCCCTGCACTCAGAACAACAGGTAGACAGGGATGGGCAGGTTTATATTGCAGTCCTCTCCTGGCAAGTTCCCTTAGGGTTAAATGAGGCACATGCCAGACTGCCCCTGCCCCTGCAGTTTGGAGAGTGCATAGGGGAGTCTGCTTAAATACACACAGCACATATTATACCCCACATGGGATACACAGAAAATGCAGTTTGAATTTTGAAATTTTGCTTGAGGTCTTGCAGATCAAAGAACAGTGTGAATTCCAAAGTAACTCACTTTCTTATTAGGAATCCCAACAGTGCTTTGTCAGGAGACCAGATGGAAATTCTTTGATAGGGTACTGGGTTTGATAGGAGGTATAATATTTGGATTTTAATGGCTCTTGTTGGAAATCTGCTGGAAATTCTTTTATTAAATTTTCATTCAAAGAAGTATACATTTGGAGCCTGCTCAGCCTGGGTGCTGGGTGCTGGGGACACGGGAGTGAACAGGCAGGCAGACATCATCGCTGGGAAGATGGGTCACACCCAGGAGTCTGTTGGGCTAGCCATCTCCATCAGGAGGTGGTGGTGGGCCTGGTGCAAAGGTTTGGGTAGAGTGAGCAGCAAGAGCAGAGGCTCAGGTAGGGAAGGGTGGACCTGGTGTGTGATTAGAACAGGGAGTAGGGAGGAGAGGATGGTGGGAGACCGGGTCCCAGGGTTGGGCAGGACTTGTTCTTATTTGAAGAGCTGGAAGAATCCGTGGCAGCCTGTTGATCCCACGTCCTGATCAGAGCATGGGAAAGTGAGCGGTCTTGGTGATTTAGGATTCCTATTCTGTAGGCTGGCACAGTGTGGGGACCTGCACTGGAATGTAGGTGACAGGGATAGCAGTGCTTGCCCCACATAGCAAGTGCACCAGGAACTGAGTCAATCATCCAGCTCCCTCTTCTGGGACCATCCTGCAGAGACCTCTTGGTCCTTCCCTTGCCAGTCATCCGCTGAGAGTGGCTTAGGTTGCTAGAAGGAAGAGTGTGGGCTTTGCTCCCCAGTGGGCAGAGGCTGTCCCCAGAGCTTGCAGGTTCAGTCTTTGGTTCTAGGTGGGAGCCATCGGAGAGCCAAGCACTTTGTGTTAGGTGGTGAAACTTCCCTGCCCCTTTGAGCATCTTTAGTGCCCTCTACCCCTGTAGAGTGACTGTGTTGCCCTGTTGGTTTTAACTTGGGTGAGGGGGGCCCAAGCAGGGGGTTTGGTAAAGACCGTCCACAGTGCTGCAGTGACAGAAAAACCCTAACATGTCCAGCTGTTCTCCGAGTGTCAGAAATGACCAGCATCCTGTGTCCTGTGTCCTGACAGCCACCTTTCATGCCTGCTAGGGAGGTTCTCCCCAGGGGAGTCCCTCTTTCCAGGAAGAGTTGCTGCCTCCCTAGAGGCAGGCACAGGGGGGCAGGCTCACGGACAGCTGCTCTGGTGGGACCAGGCTCATTGGCACAAAGGCCAATACACTGTCCCCTGCTTTGGGAGCTCAGAGGTGCACCAGAGACCAATGCACTGTCCCTTTCTCAGAGAGTTAAGAGGTGCACCAGAGGCCAACATACTGTCCTTTGCTCGGGGAGCTCATGTTGGGGTGGAGGAGCCAAAACATAAGCCTGAACATGTCCAAGTGAAGTAGGTCAGGGGAGGGAGAACTCAGCGCGCAGCTCCTGTCAGCTTAGTGAGTGCTGGCATGGGACTGGGGGCCTCCTGCCCGACTCCAGGAATGTTCCTCGAGTCCCATGTGTGCCTTTTGTCTTTTAGAAGAATTTTCTTGTGTGTGTGTGTGTGTGTTTTAAGTTTTATGATAGACCTACACATGCACAGCCAAGTTAAAAACTTAGGAACTGGGTTGGGAGTGGTGACGCTGGCCTGTCATACCAGCTACTTGGCTAAAGCTGGAGGCTGTCTTGAACCTAAGAGTTCAAGGTCAGCCTGGGTAATATATCAGGATCTGTTTTAAAAAAAAAAAGACTAGTGACAACAACAACAACAATGAACAAAGAACTATTTTATTAAATACTTTCAGATTTTTTTTATTTTTTTGGGGAGTTACTAGGGATTAAATTTAGGGGCACTTAACACTGAGCCACATCCCTAGTCCTATTTCGTATTTTATTAGAGACAGGGTCTCACTGAGTTGCTTAGCACCTCTCTAAATTGCTGAGGCTGGTTTTGAACTTGTGATCCTCCTGCCTCAGCCTCCCCAGCCCAGCTGGCATTAAAGGTGTGCACCTGGCTCAGAATTTCTTTTTAAGCTAACATTAATTGAGTACTGCCTGTGCACTAGGCATTATTTTAAGTTATTTTTTGGGGGGTTATATTTTTGTAAGTTGCTTTTATCTGTTCTACTGATAAGAACATGGGGCCCAGCTAGGTCAATGCTTTGCCCAGGTGACTCAGCTAGCATGTAACCAGACTGGCTAGAACCATGAGAGTTTAACTCTAGCCCTTGGGCTCTGTAGGGTGCTGCTCGGGACCTCTCATGACACGTCCTCTCCCAGAGACTTTATATAGTAAAGCAGATCTAATTTCTCTTTAAATATTTTCTAGGCTTGTTTTGAAGGAAAGAAGCAGTTTCCCAAGGCCCCTTTGAAGACACCTAGGAACTTGGGAGGAGACAGTTATGTACTCGAAGCAAGCAAAAGTCTGGGCAGAAACAGGGTCACAAGATGTGGCTGCAGGCTCAGGAGTCCCTGGTAGTGCCTGGCCCTTGGCTCAGGTCCACTGTGTCTGCTCCACTGGAGAGGCCTTGGGGACTTCACCTCCTATCAGATCCGCCCTGTCCAGCCAGAGCACAACTGGAGAGAGGCCATGGTCTCCTCCTAGCCCTCCCCGATCCTGAGGGAGGTAAGTCTTCAGGCCTCAGCAGGAAGGTGGCTGGTCATTTCTGACACTCAGAGACAGATGGACATTTTAGGGTTTTTCACTTTTGGTTTCTGTCACAAGTCGCTATTGTCAGAAGCCAAGAGTGGCAATAAGGCACCTGTGTGCTCCATCCCACCCCCACTGATGGCTTTACTTCCTCTTAAAGAACAGGACTTCAGGGTGGACTGTGGACGAGTGGGAGAGGTAATGTTAGAAGCCCACAGATTTGCTTCTTTTCAAAGCATGAGAAGGTGGGGACTCTTGGTCCAGGTCCTGCTCCTGATGCTCTGCACTGCAGAGAGTAGGTGTCTGGCAGATAGTAGGTGTCCGATTCTCCCTGGCAGCAGGTGCAGGCATCTGCTCCCAGCACCCACTTGGCTTCTCCTTGGTTTATACCTGGATTGAGCTCCTGTGTGTGAAACCCAGAAGGATGCCCTAGAAGACCTTATTCCCACCACTTAGCAGTTATAACCTCTTGAGCTGGGTCATCAAAAGTGCTGCAGGCTGTGTTCTGAGGTCCCCGTGTGCCATCACCCACAGTGTCTATTCAGGTGTGCCAACCCCCTCCTGCAGCCACGCGGCTCGCTGGTTCTGTGAAGCAGCCACAGTTTTTTTTCTTTTTTCCCCCTTGCTATCAGGGGTCTGTGCAGAGTGTGCTGGGCCGTGGGGCATGGATGCTGGGAAGATGGGACTGGAGGTTGCAGACCTGAAGGCTTGGAGGGCTGCTTTGCAGTGATTTTCCCTTGTGAATTATCTCAAATTCGCAAACATGAACCTCCTTCTAGGAGGTTGGGGGAGGGGCTGGCAGCGAAATAAGGGCCTTGAACGCAGAACCGAGGAATATGGGTTTCTGAAGTCCTAGTCCCTTTTAGAATAGCAATAAGAAAGCTGTTTGAGTCCATGTGTACAGTTGAGGGAGACCTGGGGAATACCCTTTTTGGTGGTACATTGGAGGAATGCAGTAACTTTTATTTTTAATTCTCTACCAGGTAAAAACCACGGGGGATTTAGTGTGTGTGTGTGTGTGTGTGTGTGTGTGTTTAATGGATTAAAATGTCTAAGACTGTCGAGCCTTTTACTATCTTTGCTGAGTTATGCTGTTCTGTGTTCTGTCCTTGTGGCAGAACATGCCTGTTAATTGGATCATTAATTAAACATTGAAACCAAGTCATTTATTTAAAAAGAGAATAAGCACTTAAGAATCTTGGCAAACATGCTAGGCTAATTTGGTTTGTATTCAGAAAGAAAAAAGAAAAAAAGCCTTGCAAATCACTAAATTTGACTTGAACTTTCTTTCTCTTTTGCCTTCCCAGGGCCTGGGTTCCAATAAATAATTGCTACCTCATGTCTAAAGAAATTCCCTTTTCTGTGAAAAAGACTAAAAGCATCTTCAACAGCGCCATGCAGGAGATGGAGGTCTACGTAGAGAACATCCGCAGGAAGTTCGGGGTCTTTAATTACTCTCCCTTCAGGACAACCTACATGCCCAAAAGCCAGTACCAGATGCTGCTGGATCCCGCCAACGCCGGTGAGGGCAGGCCAAGACGGACAAGCAGGAGAAGGTCAAGCTCAATTTCTACACAACGGCCTCGCCCAAGATCCTCATGAGCAAGCCCCTGTTGGGCGCCGGCTCGGGCTGCCTCATCTCTTTGCTGGACATGCCATGCTCGCCCATGAGCACCAACTCTTCGGTGCACACGGGCTCCGACGTGGAGCAGGATGCCCACAAGAAGGCCACCTCCAGCCACTTCAGCGCCAGCGAGGAGTCCGTGGACTTCCTGGACAAGAGCACCGGTCAGTCCCGGGCGGGGGACGGGCGGGACAGGGGACCCAAGGCTACGTGGGCGAGGGAAAGGGCTCCCGTTGGGGGAGGGGCTGGCAGCGAAATAAGGGCCTTGAACGCAGAACCGAGGCCCAGACCAGAGGCGGGGCTGGACGGGCTCCTAGCATTCGGTTTTCCCCTCTGTAACGTGAGGATCTTAACGGTGTGCCTGGGAGGTTCTTGTAAGTAAGAGGAATTGGAGTGCACTTAGGACAGTGCCCCAGACACCTACGCTGCACAAGTGCTGGCTGCTACTTCTCCTGATGCTGCTGTCAACGTGGATCAGGGAACTGATGCCAGCAGGGATGGCCAATGGGTGAGAGGGAGAAAAGTAATGGTGACTTGAAAAAATTCTTTCTTCCACAAAAGAATTTGGTAATGTGTTGAATATTCTATGAACGTCATTGCCTTCATGAGGAAGTGGTTTTGCTACTTTTCTTGAATTGTGGTATTCTCATTTTTTGTTACTCTGCCTTTGAGATATGGGCACAGAGAACCTTCTGTACCCAGCATGATGGTTCCTGGTTAGCCAGCTGTTGAGAATGGTGGAGACGTGGACACCTAGGGCATGTGCCTCATCTCAGGGACTTCACCCGTGGCCACCATGCAACTATGTGGCCTTGGGGCTTTCAGATCTTGATATTCTTCCAGAGAAATGGAAAATGTGGATTTTTAAGTAAAATCTCCACTTATTAAATGTCAGGCTGAGATGTCTTGGGGTGTTTTCTGGGGTAGCACATGTGCAGTTGGAGCAGCAGCTTTAGACTTGGAGCTGAAGTGCTCACCTTCAGTCAATGCCCCGCCTTCCCACTTGCACCATAAAATGATTTTCACTTCATGTTTTTTTTATCGTAATAAGCAATGGGAGACTAGAGCCTAGCAATAGAACTTAGTAGCATATGACGACTGTGGAAACATTAAAGATAAGAGAGTCCTGAAGGATCAGCCATCCACTCTTCAGGAGACTGCTAATGACCCTAAAGGTAAAATAATGATGGGGACTTGGTGGCTGTGCACTCAGAGGTGCACCAATTCTGCTTCACTGTCCCTGGATGGCCGCAGGGAGGCAGAGCATTGGTGCTGGGTGGCTGTAGGGTCTTTGTTATAACAGACTGCAGCTCTGCCATGTACCCTGGGGTCCCCCATACTCGCAGTGCAGCTGTAGGGTCTTGTCCCTGGAGCCACATAGCTTGTGTGTACAGTGTCAGAAGGTCTTTCCTTTTGTCCCCTTGTTTCTGACCAGAGTCCTTAAAATCATACTTTAATTCCATGCATGGTTCTGTTGAAGCAAAGTTCACAGAACATGCATGGTCTGGATCCCCTGGACCCTCGGACTGTTACTTTTCATAGAGAGCTTGAGAAGGTGGGATTTCAGTTCTGGTGGCTATGCTGTGAGTCCCCATCACTTTCTGTGGAGCTTTGTTCCATTGTTGAGTGTTGGATCTGCAACTCAGCTTTGGCCTATGCAAAGTGAAATGTGTAAGCTCCTGTTTTTAAATGGCTTCTTGGTTTTTTTTTCCCTTAATGCTATGGAGTTCACTGATGTTAATACATAAGTTGCTACAGTAAAATAAAAAATGTTGATGTGTAAACTGCCACTAGTTCTCCTGGGCCACCTGTCAAGAAAATACAGTTTGTACTATTAGAACACATCTAATGTGTTTAATTTAGCCTCTCTCTTCCTTCTGGAGTGGCAAAGGAGAGGGATAAATGGCCTTAGACTTTGTGACAGAATTCCTCATCATTTGGGGTTTTAGGTGAGAGCAGTAGATTCCCTTTAAACTACAGAGATTCTTTCCTAAATTATAACTCTCTTGCTCAATATGTGCTTGGGACTTGGCTAATCCTGAGCCCAATGTGTAGGAAACAGGGATGACACTTAGAATGTTGTTGTTGTTTTGGTGGCACTGGGATCGAATGCAGGGCCTTACCCATGCCAGGCAGGAGTTGCACCCCAGAGCAATCCTTGATTTTGCAATCCTCCTGCCTCAGCCTCCAGGGTAGCTGGGATTATAGGCATGCTCCACCCCACCCAGCCAGAGTCATTTTAATCTTACAAATTGCCCCTGTTTCTATAAGGGGTCAAATAGTAATTATTTTAGGTCTTAAAGTGTATTTTGCAGCTGTAGACATGAGGTGGGCGAGTTCTAATAAAACTTTGTTGGTGGACACTGGAATTTGAATTTCGTGTGACTTGCATGCTTTATATGAACTTTTAATTCCTTCTTCCCTCCCAGCCACCTAAAAATGTCAAATCCTCATAGTTTGCAGGCTACATGGAACAGGTGGCATGTCAGATTCCATGGCACAACTTTGACAACCACTTCTACAGACTGAGAGAGTTAGGGGCAACTCTCATGGGTGCCATTGAGGGCCCTGCAGAGCGCAGGGGAGGCACAGAGCCTGCTTCCTCCCATGGCAGCCTGCTGCCCTCTGCTGTCCCAGTGACAGGAGCATTTTTTTTAACAGGGAGCAGGAGCTATTAATGGCCCCCACGCGACACAGTGGAGACAAAGTTGTGGCTTATCCAAAATCCTGCTTTAAAGAGAAGACCTGTCATGTCATAGGATAGGAAAACCATATAAATAGTTTATGACAGTGACAAAATACGCAAGTCACAGCACAAAGCCACAAATTGGAATAAGTTATTCTATAAAATTTCTAAGAGACTTTGGAAATCTCCCTTTTGTTTGGAGGATTAGAGGCACAGACATGGACCCTCCTTCTCCGGGCTGGATTTGCTCTCTGAGAAGCTCTTTGGTCAGCGGGAAGCCGTTAGCTCACAGGTTCCTGGAATCCCTCAGGCTTGATGGCCAAAGTGGTTCTCGTTCTCAGTGGTTTTTCTGGTTTCTCATTTCTATAGGCCTCCTGGCCAGAATTGATGCCTTCACCAATATTGGCTTTCAGGATCCCCATGCAAGACATTAAAATGTATTAAGGGAGCACCCTGGGGCCTGCTCTCGACCCTCTAGGGGCTAATGGTCCTTCAGTGTCATAGCTCCACTGTGGGATACCAGTCAGGGAGCAGGGAACGTGGTTCTATGTTTTCCATCTCATGGTGTCATCGATACTTCTTTGTTGGAAGATAATTGTTAATTACAAGAACTAAAGTCACTAATGAGTCCACCTCCCATAGTCAGCCCTCCAATGTTATTTTAGGGCCTTTTGGGGGTAGGTTTATAGGTCACACTATTAAACTGAAAACTTGAAATAGTCCCCCAAGGACCAGGCTGCTATGGAGATGCATAATAGGTCAGATGTGGTGGAGACTGTGGTGAGGAAAGCAGCAAGACACAGCTGTCCTGACCTGTCACACACGTCTGCCTGTGTGCACATTTGGGCAACAGTGCCACACATGCTCATTCTTCTGATAACAGGATGCATTTCTAATGTCTGTGTTTTTTTTGTTTTGTTTGTTTGTTTCATCGTAAAGGAGATGCTTATAGCTCACTAATGGATCTTGATTGACCTGTAGCTCTCAAAATGTGGAGCGAGCTACTGGGGCCTTGTCTTGCAGCTGGTTCTGGCTAACGGAGCTAAGCAGGCTTCATATTGCCAGATTGGTGATATTTCAAGAGCATCTGCAAATGGTTTTTCAATTGCAAACTACCCCAATTTTTACCCACTGTTTCAAATTTTATAAAAAAATCTCTCTATCCTGAATCAAATGTATTTGTGAACTGCTTTAGTTCGTGGATCCCCTGGTTTCCATGTCTGGTGTAAACAGTGTAGGATTTTTGTTGTTGTTGTTTTAATTTGGAGCCTCACTTTCTTTCATTATTGAGATGGGATCTTGCTGTGTTAACCAGGCTGGCCTTGGACTTCTGAATACAAGGGATCTTCCTACCTCAGCCTCCCAAGTAGCCGTGACACAGGTACATGCTATTACACCTGACATTTTACCCCTCCAGATGTGTTTCTTTTTTTTAAACGTTTTTATTTATTTTTTTAAAGAAGGCATTTTTTTTAGAGAGAAAGATAGAGAGAGAGAATTTCAATATTTATTTTTTTAGTTTTCAGCAGACACAACATCTTTGTTTGTATGTGGTGCTGAGGATCAAACCCGGGCCGCACACATGCCAGGCGAGTGTGCTACCCCTTGAACCACATCCCCAGCCCCCAGGTGTGTTTCTCTGTTAGTAAATAACCCTTAAAAACAGCACTTGCCCAACACCTCGTAGGCCACCCTAGACCATCAGGTGTCAGTCTGACGCTCAGCTCACCTGTCCCGAGGCACCTGAGCATGTGCAAGGTGCAGCCCTTTGAACATATAAGTTGTTTTCAAGTTTTGTGAATTCTGCACATTTAGTATGAATCATTAAGTCCTCCACCCACTCCCACCCACCCCAGTGCCGGGTGTGTGGGAGAGAATGAGGGGCACATTTTTCTAATTTAATATTAAGACTCATATGTTTCATGGAGTCAGAATAGCACTTAGCTCAGGCCAGGGTTTTGTAAATGGAGATAATAGATGATGTGTTTTAGCCCACACTCGTGAATTGTACATCAAAGTGTAAAATCTGATTAAATTATTTGTGACTTCAAAGGCAATTAGTTCTTCCTTTGGGCAAGATTTATGGCTTTATAAAAGGATTGGCGTCTGTTTCAAAGTTTAATTGAAATGAACATTTCATTTTTCAATTTTGCGAAAGCAAAAGGACATTTGGAAATGTTTTAAAGCAGTGTTTCTCAACCGCAGCTCTCTTGACATTTGGGCTGGACAAGTCTGTTGTGGGGTCTCTCCTGTGCACTGCACAATGTCCAGCAGTTTCCTTGGCCTCTTCCCTGGAGATGCCAGGAGCACCTACGTCACAGGATTGCAACAGGCAAAAATGCCTCTGCACATTTATTGCCAGATGTCCCTGGGGGCAAAATTACCCCTCTAGTCCCTCTTAAGAACCTTGGATTTAATATACGTCATATGTCAGTCTTTTGGACTTTAGCATTGGTAATATGATTGTTTGAAATTCTTCAATATTTTAATTTTAACGTTTAATTTTGTGCCTTTTTCCTGAGTACACAATATTCCGCATACTTTGGAAGAGACCCAAGTGCTTCCTTCAACTTCCTTCAACTTGACATCTTCCTGTGTCATGATGCAATATGCTGTGTCCTTCCCTCCCCTCCCTTTCCCTCTCCTCCTCTTCCCTTTCCTGGAACCCAGGGCCTTGTGCATGCCCGACAAGTGCCCTCCCACGTGGCTGCATCCCTGGCCCTATATTTTTGTGTCACTGATCACCCAGCCTTATTTGTAGTAGGGCACCATATGAAGATGGACTCCACTGATGTTTCTATATGAAACCGTCGTATTTGGTTGTCTTTATTGTGTCTTTGTTGCTTGTCATGACCACCCTAAGGAGAGGAGAAGCGGAGTCCTTGTTCTTCGGTGAACGTAATAGGTGCTCAGGATGTGTTGGGCTGTGACCTGGGGGTCTGGTAGCCTGGAGGAACTGCTATCTGACATTCTCACAGCCACAGGGAGCCATAAACCAATGTCACCTTAGATGGGCCAGCAAGGGAGAGCTCTGAGGAGGTGACGTTGGGGGACCAGCAGCCAGTGTGTAGGCAGGTGTGAAGGCTGTAGGTGGGATCTGGCTGCCCCTCCCAGGTGTGGCTGGAGCCCCCTGGGGTCAAGGACTGGACATAATTGATTAATATTTTTGGTGCCACTGTGTCGCTTGCGCGGCTTCCTGAGGTCGGGTGTGGAATTCTGCACTCCAGCTATCGTGGGTGCTCGCAGAGCTCTGAGCCGGGGCTGGCAGGGGAGGCTCAGTGGTAGAGCACAAAGTTCTGGATCCCATCCTGGCACCAAGAAAGAAAGGTCAAGTTCTGGAGCATTTTGGGTTTTCAGATCAGGGGCTTGTGTTGGACGTGTATTTCGTAATGCTTGTGCCCCTGTGCCTGACACAGAAGGGGAGCCAGACACTCACGGCCTCAAGCACCCTGTGCAGCATGTGTGGAGACAGGGCAGCAGGAGTGGAGGTCACGGAGAGGTGGGGTGAAGTGGGGTGCACAGACCCTGGTGAAGAGTCAGGTCGTTGGAGGCCCGAGGGCGCTCAAGGAATTGCATTGGTGGAGGGTGTTAGACCTTGAACTAACAGGGGATGGTCATGGCATTAACTGCTAGGAGGAGGACAGGTCAGGTACAGGACATTACACAGGCTGGGGAGTTGGGACAGGGTGCATTTGGAGGTGGCATGGAGGTCTCTTTTTTAAGGAGATAGAGTTCTGCCCAAATGGGATCTGTGGGTTGCCAGATGACCCTAAAGCTGTGTTCCTTCCCGAGTCTGTGAAGCTTTGCAGTCCTAGACCCCCGGGGGATGAGTGGGCCCTCTCTTGTCCAGACCCATCTCTGCTGGAAACCAGTGGAGACTACCTCATTCTTGCCACAGCCATGTGGTATGACCGTTTCTTCAATCCTAGTATTTAAAGGTTATCAACAAAGGAAGCATCCATAGAATTAAAAGCTTCCAATTATTATTTTTAATACACATGCATGTATATAACAGTTAAAAAAATTGACTTCACCCTGTGTGTTGCTAAAACCCACAGCAGGATCTCAGGTAGGACTGTCCTGCTAGAGCCCCTGTTGGCTGCGCTCACCTGCTCTTCACTTGAACTTGACCCCGTAAGCAGGGGGCTCTCTATATTGGGTTCTGTGTGCTCAGTGGCTCTGCTGTCCCTCAGGATTAGGTCTCCTTGTCAGTTCCCAAGCAGTTCCTTACTTGCTAGTTTATAGGAATTAGAGAAGCTCTGGTCCTCCATCTGCACAGGGAATTCATTATTTGGATCTTTTTAGCTACCACAAATCTCATCTGCAAGGAGGTACGACATACACGAATAAATTATTTAAAAGTCCATAGTAAAGATTTTATTGCTCATATTTCCTTAAAATGCCTTGTGTTCATCTTGTTGCTTTGTGTCCCATGGTAATGAAGGTGATAGTGGCAGCAACGCCCCAGGATGAAGGACTTCTCTGTGCCACGGCTGGGCCAGTCTGCCAGTCCGCCAGTCCTCGCAGTAGAATGGACATAATTGAATATTTTAAAACCTAATTCTCAAGATGATTTCTCCCATTAATTGAGCGCTTGGTTAAGCACGAGTGGATGGGCCCATCTAGCCCTCACCCCTGCCCCCGCTTCTCGGGAGAAGAGGATTTCCATGTGTCATTGTGGGCCAAGTAGTTCTTGGCTGTGGGGTGTCACAGGACATTTAGCCGTGTCCTGTGTCTCTCCCTACTAATTACCAGCAGCAGCCCTGCTCCCCTTGTGCTGGCCACCAAAATTGCCCATGCACATTGCCAGTCCTGTCCTGGGGGGGGGGTGATGGGGGGTCGGGGGTGCATTTGCTTCTGGCTGAGAGTCACAGGTTCAATGATGAAACTGAAGCCTTTGAGGTCAGTGAGGACATAGAAAACAAGTGCCCAACAGCAAGCAAGGGTCAAGCACTTGGTAGGTTCCAGGTGAGGCTCGGATGATGGACAGTTGCTGGATTCACTCCCCACAGTGGCCACAGGAGGTGTAGCTTTCCTCCTCCCCTCGGATCAAGCTCTGAGCATCCCCCTCTTCTGCTGCCAGGTTGGGGGCTGCGGGGCTGCCTGCCCAAGGCCACCCAGCAGGCTAGCAGCTGGGCTGGGATTTGAACTGCAGTGTCTGCCTCCTGACCCCTGCTTACTCCAGGCCCCCACAGTCTTTCCCACCAAATTATATGAAGATAAAGTTGACAGGTGCTGGGCTGAGCTTGGCTGATGGACACCAAGCCTTGGAGCTGGTGTGCAGAGCGAGCCTGTGGGGTCCCTTTTCTGCACATCTGTGTTGAGAAAGTGAGGGGGCGGAGGCCCGCCCCTGCCCCAGTGGACAAGCCGCTTTTGAAGTCCCTGGGGAGTCTCATTCCTGCTCCCTTTGCCATCTGTAGCTGTCTCTCAAGACCAGGTCACCTCAGAGTTGAGGTTTCTTGCCTGTCTGAGGAGAACTGGCCATTTGTCATGGGTCATGGCTTTAGACCCAGCTGGTTTAGAGGAGCCCAGCAGGCCCCATGGTACAGTCCCAATGCAGTTGAGTGGCCAGGGCCAGCGGGCAGGGTCTGGGGGGCTCTGGTTGGCTCTTTGTTTTATTAAAAGAAGCACTTTGGATTCTGTCTTCCTTCTCTCTCCCCCAGCAAAGGGAGGCGCAGGGGCAGCAGGTGGGTGGTAGGTAGTTTGAGGTTCAAAGCCGCAGGCTGCAGGACCACCTTCGTCTCCCTGTTGAAGTACCAAACACAGAAGGAGAGGATAATCACCAAAGGCTCCCTCCCTCTGTCTGGTTCTGAGTGGGGTTATCTGCAGCCTGGGAACCTCTGGACCAGTCACTGCAGATCTCCCTGGGCCTGGCTGCTGCCCTGGCCTGGCTGCTCCCCAGCAGGTGTGGGCTGTGTGAACAGCCCCTGTCCCCATGCCCGTGAAGGCCATGCCATTTTCCAGCCTGGCTCCTGATCTCCACATCTGGACCTCGTGGGGGCTGATGCAGTTCACTGATGTTTATTTTGAGATTTACACCCGTGGATGGGCCAAACCAATTTCGTGGGCAGCATGGCCAATTTGTCTTAGAGCTTTGTGTTTAATAGAGGGCTGGGAGGCCGCCTTCCTGGTGGCTTTAAGGGTTTAGCGTCGGGTGACACTGGAAATCAGCCACCAGCCAGCCCCGCCCTCTCCTTCCACATGCCTGTGTCCCAGCCAGAATGGTACATGCGCCCATCTATCCCCCCACCCCACCTGTGCCTGCGAGCACTCCTGTCGGTGTGTAAGTCTGACTTCTAACAGTGCCATACATTTTCAGCCTCACCAGCCTCCATGAAGATGGGACAGGCAGGGAGTCTGTCCGGCAGCCCAAAGCCTTTCTCCCCGCAAGCGTCTGCGCACATCATGATGAAAATGGACAAGACATCCACCACCGGAAGCCTCCTGAACCTTAACCTGGGTCAGTTGGCAATTCTGGCAGAGTCTTTCTGTGACAACTGTGACTTGGCAATTGTAATGTCCTTTTCTATGTGTAGTTCTTGAACCTTTGAACTCTTTTCTCTGTGCAGATAATTAAAAAGGTGCAGTGGGTGAAGGTGAGGTGAATCATTCCCCCAGCCCTCCTTAACTTTGTTTTGTTTTTAGCATGGCCTCACGGAGTTACTGAGGCTGGCCTTGAACTTGCAGTCCTGGGGCCTCAGCCTCCTGAGTCACTGGAATAACAGACATGCGACACCACACCCATTTGCAGCTGTTCTTGTCTTGAAGGGCCTTAGGGCAGTGTTCAGAAGCTTGTTTTTCCTTAAGCCTATAAACCAGATCACTGATATGTGAATACATACATGTAGTGGAAAGAAGTTCCATGAACCAACTTTCCTGTGCCCAGTGTACTCTGATACACTGTTCCCTTTAATTTTCTGATATCGATTTTCATCCCTTGAATTAGTATTTTTTAATCAATTGGGTTTAGGTGGTTATTTAGAAAATACTGTGTTAGGAGAAAAAAAAACCTGTTAGGCCAAAGTTTTACAAACATGCACGAGTAATGCCAAACAGCCAAGTACGGAGTCATTTTGAGCCATTCTGTCATGACTCTTGCTTTTGTTGAGCACCTAGTATTGGGTAGTATTGTAGGCCTGGGAGAGAGGTTAGCCAGTCAGCTAGGGACCCGGCTCTTTCAAAGCTTCAGGTCCAGAGAGTGTACTCAAAGTAGGTGGGCAAGAGGGTTCACGCCTCCGTAAACACGTAGGAGGAAGAATCAGCCATGCCAACAGGAGGAAGAACATTCTAGGGGAAAGAAGAGGTCCTAGAGGTGGTGGGTGAGGACCCACTTGCTGTGCTGTAGGAGTGGCCAGGAGGCCTAGGTGACTGCATCCTGTGGGCAGGGGCAGGAGGTGAGTAAATTGAGGGCTTGCAGACCCTGAGGTGGAGGGACCTGTGCCCACCTGAGGTGTCAGAAGGACAACTCTCTGTTGATCAGTCATTTTTCTGGTCAGTTGTGTCTCCACCCCACATGTGACCATGTCTGGGACATTTTCTTGTCCCCAGTGCCGCTGAGTCTCCTGTGGTGCCCAGGACCCTCATGGTGTGGAACTCCTGGACCACGTGGTAACTGGGCCGACTCCCTGGCCAGCGGCAGAGCTATGGGCCAAGAGCTCCCCTTGGAATCAGTTTAAGATGCTTGTCAGACCCCCGGTGGGGAGGGCAGAGGGCACTTGGTGGCAGGTGCTCTGAGGCCAGCTCTGCAGGAGGTGAGTGCCAGCCATCTAGACGGACAGGCAGGTCTGGGGGTGTGCAGTGCCTCTGGAGCTGGGAGACACCAGGTCTGGACAGCACCCTGGGTGCCCAGCAGAGCCCAGCAGCCCTGCTGAAGCCCAGCTGTCTGTCCTTGGATCCAGGGTCTCCTGCGTGCTGGGTTGCCTGTTCCCGCAGCCCAGGTGGAACAGGGCACTCAGGGTGGAGCTTGGGGATGGGATTCAGAGTGACTAGAACAAAAAGGAACCCACTTGCTGCCTTGGGAACATTGACTGTTTCCTACCATTCCCAGAATGGTGGCCTCCTTTCCCACAGCCTCCTCCCTCCTGCACACCCGAGCAGCCAGGCTGTACGGAGGCCTGCTCCCTGCATTCCTCTCTGCCAGTCACGTGTGGCCAGAATAGCTCCTTCCGTAAATGGGGTGACCGGCAGGCATCCTGGTGACACTGTGGGTCTCTCAGTGTGGCTTGACTCACATATGTGGAAGTGCAGGACCCTTACTGGGGCGTCTCTGGTGGGTGGGGAGTGGCCATGGGCAGTGGTGCTGGCTGCGGCTCCTGCCGCCTCTCGGGAGGCCCACAGCCCCCGACACACTGGGCAGTTTTGCTTCCTTCCCAGCAGGGATGAAGGCATGTGAGCTGGGTGGTGCTGTGGGTAGGATCTCAGGTCCCTCATGGGCAAGGATCCACTGGGTCCTGAAGTCCAGCAAGCCGAGTCCCGCTGCCTGGGGCTGAGCGTGAGCTTCGTGGGCTTAGTCACGTCTGTCCCTGTGACACCCTTCGCCAGATAGGAGTGATACAGAGTGCCAGAGACAGACGGACAGTAACAGTCACAAAACAGAATTCCATTAAAAAACCCCACAACAAAAACAAACAGACAAATGGATAGACAGACAGAACACTGGAAAAGGCAAAATCATAGTGATGGAAGCAGCCCGGGGTTGGGGTGGAACACTTGAGCTTCCTGCCTGAGCCTCATGAGTTACTGGAATTATAGGTGTGTACCACCATGCCTGGCTGGTGGTTAATTTTTTTCTTTCTTTCTTCTTTCTTTCTTTCTTTCTTTCTTTCTTCTTCTTTCTTTTCTTTCCTTTCTTTCTTTCTTTCTTTCTTCTTTCTTTCTTTCTAATTGCCGATGGACCCATTATCTTTATTTTATTTTATGTTTTAAATTTTTTCTATGTGGTGCTGAGGCTTGAACCCAGGGCCTCATATGTGCTGGGCAAGTGCTCTGCTCCTGTGCTTCAGTCGCAGCCCCTGGTAGCTTATTCTTAACAAGAACGGACATAGTAGCCATTGATCGAGGCGAGAACACTTATTTTGTAAAAGAGGGTGCTTTCCTTTGGTTGTGTTCTTCCTGTGAATGTGCAACAGGTGAGTCTTCCTAGAGTAAACTTGAAGGGCCGCATCTATCACAGGCATGCATGTGCACAAAAGTGCAACATAGGTCGAGGGCTCAGGTGAGGGCTGTCTCTTGATGAGCCCCATGAGGCAATGCAGCTACCACGGTGAAGGCCGTGCTGGATTTCTTTACTCACAGAAGTGGTCTTACACCAGGGTCTCAACCCCAGCTGCTCCTAAGAGTCACCTGGGGGGTTTCTCCAGGTCTCCCAGACTGTAAGTCAGGGTTTCTGAGGGCCTGATGGATGCCGTATGTCAGCACATGTATATTTTTTATTTTGGGGTTGGTTTCTTCGTATTTGTTTTTAACCCCGTTAACATTAAAGTGCCCAAGGCAGAGGCACGGGGTGTTTTGCACTCCACGTGAGCCTCAGTTGGCCACAGGGTTGGCGCGCTGTGCTGCTGTTTCACTATCAATGCTCTTTGTAAGCTGCAGATCCAGGCAGGTGCAGGTGAGTTTCTAGTTCTTCCTCAAGGAAATTTGAATGAAAGTTCTTCCCACCCAGGCTTCCTCCCTCCCTTGAGGGCCTCTCTGAACAGCCTTCCGATGGGCCTGTGAACACACAGTGCACACACACATGCGGGAACACATGCACACCTGGACTTTTGAGGGTGCTTTTCTGGAATCATAGCGGTAGCATCTTTGCTAGCTTTGAGCACTTACTTCCAGAATCTTGCACGTTTTGAGGAAAGAGCCCTACCCAGTTAACCTGGGTGGGAAGGAAGGTCATTGGGGCAGTTTGTTGCTTCTGTTGGGTGGGGGTTTTGGGGACCTCACTCCTTTTGGTCACTAAAGGAACTGGTTTCTCCAAATGCAGTGCTGGAGCATGCCCTAACTGGTTGAAGGTGAAGGGCTTTGGCTCATGCCAAAACAGAAGGAGAAAAGCAAGTGAAAGTTTTGCAAGCTCTGGGATGATCTCCTGGGGCTTCTTTAACAGGCCAGTGAATAGGTTGCCTTGGGTGCGGGGTCAGCAGGGAGTGAAGGGAAGTCCAGGAGATGAGCCCACAGTGGCTAAGAGCAGGCTCAGAGGTGGCTTCTCCTCTCTGGTGGGTGATCAGATTTCACCTGCTTTCTGACCTGTGTTCTGGGGTTGGCTGGGTTGGGTTGGAGGGGATGCCACAGAATAAGGTCAAGGGAAAGACAGGCTCCCCTCCCCCATGATCTTACCTTGCTTTGGGATGGGAGAGCAAGTTCATCAACATGGGCTAATTGGCCCATTTGGTTATACAAGAGCCCTTGGTGGAGTGACGCAGGGGACTTGGGTTAGGGGATGTCATCGCAGAGGGCTTTGCCTGGGAGTCATGATGAAGAACTTTGGTTCTTACCTGAGAGACCTGTTGGTCACAGGTTAGTGTCCAGGAGGAATCTACTTACCTGGCCTCTGCGGAGGCTGTCAGGTGAAGGGAGGCACAGCCAGGAAGACTTCCTCTCCCCTGTTTTCCTTTTCTAGTTTGATCCCCAGATTGGGTAGACCAGGAATGACCAAGGAAGCCTCAGTGAATGGTAGGCAGCCAGGGTCCCCAGCCCCAGGTGTCTCCAGGGGCCCTGAGCCTCATTTGGGTGGAAGCCCCAATCACTGGTCTGGGGAGTTTGGAGCAGGTGTTGAATGCTGGGTGTTCTCTCCCTGCTGATTGTGAGACTGAGCTCCTCTGGCTTTGGAGGGTCTCGGGTCCTACAGACTCTCTGCCTGGCACCCTCCAGCTTACACCTGAAAGTCGCCAGTGGGAATCCACCTGCTGCGGGAGCTCACTGGCCGTCACCCCAGCCTCCCATGTTGCTGGGGAGAGCTCAGTGGTGAGTACCACTCGGGCCCCGCGCCTGGGCTTAGGAGGGTGTGGTGGTGTCTTCCAGATGGTAGCAATGCCGAGATGGACCTGAAGGATCTGAGTGAGTCCATGCAGCAGCAGTCCACCCCGGCACCCCTCATCTCCCCCAAGCGGCAAATCCGCAGCAGGTTCCAACTGAATCTCGACAAGACCATAGAGAGCTGCAAAGCACAGTTAGGTATGGCTTCTGGTGACTTGCTGTTCCTAATAATGTTTCTAATTGTTTGTAACGATGACATCCACCTGGACCAGTGAGGGTCCAGTCCTGGCTGCTCTTAGCAGCTGTTCTGACCTTGAACCACCGGTGGAACTAAAATGTATTTCCACTCATGGCAAAGTGTCCTGGACCTGCTAGTTAATTATTTAGTTGATCCTTGGTGAAGACAGCCTTGAGGACTCAGGGTGCTGAGTGCTCCTCTGCCCCTGCCTCACCAGTGTCTCACATCTGTCCTGAATGGGTCTATAGGAACCTGTCCCCGCAGGTGGGCCGGTCACTTAATCCCTCTTGGGTCCTCCCACACAGCTTTGTAAAGCCCCCCATTCCTGTTTACTGAATGCCTGTGGTACATCCTGCCCTGTGCTCAGCACAGTGCATCCATCATTCTGGGAGATTGCTACTATTCTCAGTCTCATTTTTCAGATGAAGAATCTGAGGCTCAGAGAGGTGCATCATTTGTTCAAGGTCACACAGCCAGTGACACCAGGAGCAGGATTTAAAATGTCACCATTTTGATTCTGGTACCTAGTACTTACTACACGTTTGGTCCAACTTGTCTTTCTTGGGTCCAGCCATTAGCTACACTAGCACAAACATGAGATCTAAAAACCATACCATGCCTGGGTGTTCTGTGTTTCTCCTGTGATTTTGACCGGGCCCTGGTGGAGGCAGGAGTGTTTCCTACAGATCTGCCAACCTCCCGGGTCCTGAGCTCCTCATGGCTCTTGTCCTCTTGTGGGTCTCTCTTTGTGTGTCCAGGTCAAGACAGATGATTCAAGAGGCCATTGCTCCTGAGGGAAGAAATCCAAAGAGTCGATTGGGTTTTCTTTCTGATTTTAATTTTTGGGCATAGTATTGTTTACCTGTGGCCTGGCCACACTCGGCCATTGCCGGAAGCACAGTGGGGCTGAGCAGAACTGCTCCTGGGAGGGGCTTCTCCCCTGTTTGGAGCACCTGCTGTTTTGTGCCCCCTCCCCCCTCTTTTTTTTTGGCGGGGCTGGGGATTGAATCCCAGCTTTGTGCATGCAAGGTGAGCACTGTACCCACTGAGCCACATCCCCAGTTCCTGTTCTTCCCTTTCGGTGGACATGGGCACATGCAAGTCCATCTTGGCCCCTGTGAGTGGAAGAACAGCGAACAGTCCACTCTGTCCTGGGGCCTGCTGGTTACTCTGTCACCTGAAGAACCCCCGCCCCTCTCCCATGGCTGCTTGGCCACAGGCCTGTGTCCGAAAGTAGGCAAGTCCTCTGTTCTTTGCTGACTCTGCCCGCCACCTTGGTGAGTTGGGCACCATATCCTAAGTTAGAAAAAGCAAAACACAGACATAAATGGGTGCCCCCGCCTGCACAGCATTCCCTAATGAAGGTGCCTGTGGCTGGGTGGGATTGAGGGCCTTGGCCTACTTCTGGAGGCCTGGACAAAGGGTGTGAAGGGCACAGAGGCTTTGGAAGCACACGGGAGGAGGCTGGTGATGAGTCTGAGCCTGAGATCCACCTTCTCCTTTTGTCTCCTGGTTGTCTTCCTGTCCTAGGACAGGTGATTCTCTGAGCCTCTATTTTTTTTTTTAATATTTTTTTTTTAGTTGCAGATGGACACAGTACATTTTATTTTATTTATTTATTTTTATGTGGTGCTGAAGATTGAACCCAGGGCCTTGCATTGGTGAGGCGAGCGCTCTAGCACTGAGCTGTGACCCCAGCCCTGAGCCTCTATTTTTTAACCTGTAGGTTGGCTGGTTTGAGTGGCTTGTCCCTTTGTTCCTCTACCCTCTCCCTCTCTTATCAGCGATGCGGATTTAGCTTGCTCCTGTTTAATCATACGTAGGGAGGTCCCAGGTCACCTCTGAAGGCTAAGGCCCGAAGCCCCTGCAGACACGGCTCCCGCTGGTCACTTGTATCCAGCTGCTGCTTCCATTTACTCCCATCCCTTGCGCCAGTGTGATGTGATTTGAGTGTGTTTTTCTCACTCCAGCCTTTGGCATGGGAACCATCTGCACTTCCTAGTCCTGATTTTGGTTCGATGACTGCGCAACAGGCTGGGTTTTCTCTTTTGAATTTAGGCATCAATAAAATCTCGGAGGACGTGTACACGGCCATGGAGCACAGCGACTGGGAGCATTCCAAGATGTCGGAGAGTAGAGACAGTAAGTACCCCAGTGACAACGAGAGCAGAAGTCCAAGAATGAGCCAGAAGACGCGGAGGACAAGGATGGAAGCACGCTGGACAAGGAGCCACCCGCTGCCAAAAAAAAGCCCAAGCCCGCCAACCCCATGGAGGTCCCTGAGGAGCTGAAAAGCGGTCTCCAGTCAGTGAGAAGGAAGAGCCCACAGCCGCGAAGGCCAACCCGGAGCCCAAGAGGGACCCTGCCAAGAGAGCAAAGCCATCCCTGCATCCTGCCAAGGACAAACTGAAGGGCAAAAATGAGATGGATTTTCGATGGTGCACTTGGGCCTGGACTTGGATTCAGAGAGTGAAGTTGTCATAGATTTGGGAGACGACCATCCTGGGCGGGAGGGCCGGAAAAATAAGAAGGAACCCAAAGAGCCACTTCCCAAGCAGGACGGTAAGTCCTTATGTCCGTCTGCAGGTTCTCACTGGAATGCCCCCGGCCCTTGGGTTGGCAGAAGCCATGGGGCCCCCAGCACCATTCAGCCAGGAAAGCTTCGATGGCCTTACGTTCCCAGGCTGAGGACAGAACAGGACCAGGGCTTAGGTGTAGGCCCCCTGACCTTGGCCTGCTCAGTGCCCACCATGATTGATTGGGAGCCCAGACAAGGAAGCACTTAGAAAATGGTAGTTGATTTTAGTCCTCTTTAGCCTAAGCCACTGCTTTTCCAACAGGCTCACTCATGTCCCTGAAGTGTTTCTTGACATGTCGACCTCTGACCAGGCTCAGGTGCCTATGAGCATTCAGTCAGAGGTCCTCCTTAGTCCAGCTTCCTGTCTGTCCATAATGCTACTCAGGCATTACCAGGTAAATTTTCTTACAAGAATGTGAAACTGTTTGGTAATTGGTACCTGAGTGCCTGAGAACCTTTGAGGACCTAGAAACCGAAGGGGCAGTGTCTGGTGACATGCCACCTGATTTGATGTCCGTCCTGTTCATTTAGCTGACTCGAGCCGAGGGCTGCTCATCCTGGCACTAGGGACACTTTGCCCTAGAGAGTTCTCTGTCCTGTGCGCTGGAGGGTCTCTAGGAGCATCCTGGCCTCTACCACTAGGTGACAGCAGGACCTTCCTGGTGTTGGCTGTTAGGTATCCCTGGAGGGCTCTATGACACTTCATAGAGCACCCTTTCTCTGCAGGAAAACCCACTAGCGGGAGCTTGGGAATGAGTCGGAGGGTGTTCTTGCCCTGACAAAGCCATCAGCATATTTTCCAGCTGGCTTGGCAAATGGGTGATGGGTGGAGCCCAGCATGCCCACGGAAGGTACTGAAGAATTAATTAAGGGTCCCTGGAGAAATGTTGCCTGAGGACAGATTAGAGATCATAACCATAAAGCCTTATGTACTTTGTGGGTAACTTAAAGCATAGCCAGGTTTAGTTTTTGACTATGCCTTACTTCTTTTTTTTTTTATGTTTTTTTTTTTATGCCTTACTTCTGACAGCTGCTAGCTTCTTATCCAAACCATTGAGTAAGATGTGAGTCTGTGTTCTTTGAATTTCCCCAGTCTGGTGGCTTAAAGCAAGGGCTCAGTGTGTGTGTAGAATCTTGCTGCTGTGGAGTCTCAGTTGTTAGTGAGGAGAGAGGGTATCCCGCCGCTCAGGAAGAGAGAACAGGATGTCTCTGAAGCGTGCAGGAGTGGAGAGGGAAAGGAGACACAGCACAGAGAAGGCAGGCTGACTGTCTCTGGCCATCTCTTAGATTCATAAATGCTTTGGAAAAATACAGTGACATCATGCATTGAGTTCTGAGAGGCTGCTCTTTATTATTGCAGAAAAAATGGGCAGTAGCATTTGTTCTGTGAGGATTGTGGAAGTGTGATTTGGGTGTAGGTGGTACAGGACTCCTGAGGCACATTTATACTGTTCTGTTCTTTCTGGAACAGGCCTTTTGATTGATTGATTCATTTAATGCCCCTTCCCCTTCCAGACAGGTTTTTCATCAGATTGACAAGAATACATAATCATTAAACAGAAAGAAAATAAAGAAGTCAGTGTAAAAGGGAAATGAAGGAGAATAACTGGGCAACACTTTTATGCAAAAGTACGTGCTATCAGCGTTTAGAGTTGGGCTCTGAGCTTCCTGGCCATGAAAGCAAAAAAGGAAGAGATCCTTAAAAGATCTCACACTCTCCAAAAACTCAAAATTAATCCAGTTGTTGAGAAAAAATAGAGATTTTCCTCATGCTGATGTCTCCAGGAAACTTCTCCTGGAGCCCCTGAGTAGATGCTGGATGATTGAGCAGAAGATTCTAGAACCCAGTTCAGTTAGCAGCTTCTTAGTGATTAGGAAAAAACAAATGATCTTAAATCCAGAGTCGCTTGGTGGTTTGGGTCTCAAAGGCTCAGTCTTGGACTCTGCAGTGGAGCAGGGTCCCTACCAAGTGCCTTCGCTTTTGCTCAGTTGAAGGGGAGGGCATTTGGGACTGTGCCGTAGGGACTCCCACTCACCCTCAGCGTGGAGTGTGGCATGTGGTGGAGTAGGTACTTTCAGAGCAGAACCGCTCCGATCAGAAGCAAAGGGAGCCCCTAGAGACCCTGCTACCTGCTGCACCCAGGAGTCCTGCCACCCTTCCCCACTGGGATGCTAATTCAGGGTGGCAAGTTCTGGAATATGTCAGGGAATTTGATTGGGCAGCTTCCAGGGTGCCAGCCCTTTAAAGGCTTCACCCTTTTGGGATGAATTTTGGGTGATTATATACTCCAGATTTCTAACCAGTGAAATTTCCTTGAGATTCCTCCCCACCAATCATCAGAATACCCTAGAAATTAAAATTTGCCTAAATGATAACGTGGGGAGCTGGAGGCGGGAGTCTTTTCGGGCCCCCCACCCCTTTTCCTGAAGGAAGAGCCAGCATGACCCTTGCAGAGCAGCTGCCCCACTGCACAGCTGCGTGTTTGCTCTTATAAATCAGAAGGGAGTGACCCTTTGGCATTGCCCTTGGCAGGGGCACGCAGGCCACATTGCCCAGCGATACACACATTTTCTCATTGGCAGAGAGGGAGGCGTTGAATGTGCTTCTGCAGGTGGGAGACCGGCTGGTGCCAGGCCTCTGCCCAGCTCTCAGTAGAGCCCAGATGAATGCCTCCTGTGTACCTTGAAGGAGCAGGGGCTGTGTTCAGTACTTGCAGGTCACCTAGGAAAGATCGGGACCCCTCATTGCAGGAAGAGAACCCTGCCCAGCTCCACTTGGGCTGATGCCCAGTAGCCGGCTGAATGCTCCCCTCCAGGAAAGCAGGAGGGCTGCCCCAGGCTGGCCCAGAGTCGGCCAGCTGCTGTCCCTCAGCTTCTTTCTCCCGGCCTCCTAAACCCCACAGCATCCTGACCATCCTCCCTTCATCACGCTCTCATGTTTTATTTGAGGAGTTTGATGTCCAGGCAGCACGGAGTCTGAGGTCAGGGGTGGTTAACCCGCACCTGTGTTTGCAGTGTGTTCCCTGATGTCCTCTTGGGGACAAGTCCGTCTAATCCACGATTGGGACTTCGGTGGCCATGAACAACCCCCTTTCTGAATGTGCCCCCTGCTCTCTCAGTGCTTCTGGCTCTTCTGCCTCGACTAGTGTTAGGGGGAGGTTCTGGCTGTGCGTGGGGCAGAGTTCCTTTTAGTGTCAGCACCTCCCTGGGACGTTGTCCTGGAGGGAATTGAAGAGACAGAGGGGGCTTTTCTTTCTGGGCGGGTGGCTCCATGCTGCTCAGTCCTTGCCAGAGGAGAGGCCATCTGGTTCTTGGGGTGCGGGTGTTAGAGGATCCCTACCTGAAGGGCTTCCCCTGGCCCTCTGGAGTGAGTCCTTTCTTAGACAAGCACTTGCAGGGATTCTGTCACCCACTGCTTCCTTCCCTAGTGGGGGGTCGTGTTCACCTCCTGTCCCCCAGGGTTCTTGGCTTGGGTCTCGATGCCAGCCGGGCTCAGTGGAGGTGAGATGGAAGGTGGAACTGCTGCTCCTCGGTGGGCGCCTGGTGCGGACCTCCCTGGTCACCCTTGGCTTTGGTTGGTTTTGCCCAGAACTCACAGGCAGGTTCCTGCCGGGAACCAAGTCCAACCTGCTCTGTTTGTCTGTCTGTCTCCACACCCTGGCTGTAGTCATCGGTAAAGCGCCACTGTCCATGACTTCGGGCAGCCGGTCTCCCCCCGAGATGCCGGTGCTCACCCGCTCCTCCTCCCAAAACCCCGTGGCCGGCATCCCGGCCAACACCAGCACAATGTCCACTGTCACAGGAAGCCTGGTGAAAAAGCAGAGGCCGCTCTTACCAAAGGAGACTGCCCTGGCCGTGCATCCGGTCGTGTGGAACTCATCAAGTAAATTTCAAACTTCCTTCCAAAAGTGGCACATGCAGAAGATGCAGCATCATCAGCAGCAGCACAGCCAGCAGCAGCAGCCTCAGTCTTCCCAGGGGACGAGATATCAGACCAGACAGGCTGTGAAAGGTATAGCCCCCTTCTGCTCTGTGTGGCACCCACTCCCATTGCCACATCGACAGGACAAAAAACATTGCCGTTTTATTTTTCCCCTCTGTTTGTGTTCCGGCCATCGTGTCCTGAGGGCCTCACACGTTCCATTTGGCATTATTTTTTTTTAAAGTTGGCTTGCAACTCACTTTTTCACTTAATTTTTCTTTTTTAAGGTGATACATGCCTCTCTTCTCCTTAGAAATGGGACAGGATGTTTATATGATAATTTTGTTGAGTGTTGTCCGGTTCACCTTCCATTTAATTGTCCTTCCTTCCTCGGTAGCCATGATCAGTCACCTAAAACCCTTTCCTATGCATGCACGCACAAGTATGTACACACACCGACCCCCACACACCCACACACCATAAAAGTACTTATTTCCCCCTTTTTTTTTCTTTTTTAAGACATAAAAATGGTACCATACTTGCTTTTTTTTTTTTTTTTCACCCATCAGCATGTTTCGAGGTCTGCCTGTGTCCCAGCATATGGCCCTGCCTTCTTCTTTTGGACTGCTGCGTAGTATTCCCTAGTTTATGTAAAGCATTTCCTTCCCGGTGGGCTTAGGTAACTTCCATTTTTTTTCCTACCATAAGCAGTGCTGCAAAGAAAGTTGTACCTTTGTATAATGTTTCCAAGGGCACATGAGCAAAGCCCTAGGCCTTGTTTGGGGAAGAGTACAGTGAAAGAGGTTGACAGCAAAGCTTACTCTAAAAAACAGGGATTTGCCACACCCATGAGATATGCAAGTGGCAGGAACTGCTTGCTGAAGTTGCAGAATTGAAACTCCCACCAGAAAGCAGGATGCTCCATCTGCAGCTGACGTCAGGGCACACAGAGGGCTGGCTGATCTGCCCAGGGTCAGTTTTCCCAGGTTTGTGAGGCTGGGGTACATTTTGTTCCTCGGGGAACCTCCTCTAGATCCTGGAAAGTGGGGCCCCTGATTGAAAGTCTCCTAGTGAGTGCACCCTGGTGAGCAGGCCTTCTGATTAGCAGCAGGATGCAAGGTAAAAAGGTCACCTCAGAGGAACCCCATGTAACCCTCCAAAGATTGGCGAATGGGAGAGGAAGGAGTGGAAAACTGGAGAGGTCAAGTTGGAAGACAGTTGAAGTGACCTAGTGCTTAAAATGTGTTTGGAGCTGGGCACAGTGGCCCACGCCTGCAATCCCAGCAGTTCGGAAGGCTGAGGCAGGAGGATCGAGAGTTCCAAGCCAGCCTCAGCAAAGGCAAGGCATTAAGCAACTCAGTGAGACCCTGTCCCTAAATAAAATACCAAATAATTCTGGGGATGTGGTTTAGTGGCTGAGTGTCCCTGAGTTCAATCCCTGGAACAAAAAGAACAGTTGTTGGGACAGATCTAGGTTGCTGGAAATGAGGATGAGTATGTCTTGTCTTACTATCCCGTGAGCAGATGCTCTTTTCCCAGGGGAGGTTTGGTGTTTCCAGAAAGACTTGTGGACATTATGGTCCTCAGCTTTCCAATTGTCTCTGTCAAAATAAAGTGATGAGGACCGATGGCATGTTTGCAGCACTAGTTAAGGTGATAAGACACACCTGAATCAGCTGGGCACTCCCGCACCACTAGTTAAGGTGTAATCAGTCATACACTGGTGCACTAGACAGGGAGTCCAGGTGAACTGACTTCTGCTTTGACCTGTGTGGAGGTTTTGGGCCTGTGGGTAGGTTGAGGGAGCAGGGAGGGTGCAGTGAGGGCTCAGGAGAGTCAGGAAAGTTGGACAATATGGGGGCAGAAGGGCTGGGCCATCCAGGGTGGTGAGGCATCTCCCCTCCCATGGGGCTGGAAGACAGAGCCCCCTCTTCTGTTGCCCTGTTGCAGGTTGGAACCAGCTGGGGTTCCTTGGGCAGCCTGGAGTCTGCCCCAGGCACTCGGGGCACCAGGGCTGCCTCACAACCTTGAGCTCTCAGAGATGGTTCATGTTTCCTCAAGTTTTTCTACTGGGGTTGGGACCTAGCCTGGCTCCTTTGGTCACTTTAGAGTAAAAAAATCCCACAGGGTGCGTCAAGGGCTGGGCTGCACTTGTCACCACAGCGTTGTGCTGGGACAGCCCTTCCTATGTTTCTGGGTGACCAGGACCCTTTGTTCTCCTAGCTGTCCAGCAGAAGGAGGTCACACAGAGCCCATCCATGTCCACCATCACCCTGGTAACCAGCACACAGCCATCCCCCCTGATCAGCAGCTCTGGCTGCACAAGCACCCTCACGTCATCAGTCAGCGCCGACCTGCCCATTGCCACCGCCTCGGCCGACGTCGCCGCCGACATCGCCAAGTACGTGAGCAAAGTGAGTGGCAGGCGCCTGGTTGGCTGCTGCAGGGCACCTGGGCAGAGGACCCTGTTGCTCCCAGCCCAGATCCACACTGGCTCTGAAGTCTATTCTCAAAGGGTATTGTAGGGCGGACTCAATCTCACACCAGGAAGGCTTAGATCCTAAAACCAGCCCATAAAATCCAAAAGGCGCTGGAGTCCCCTTTGGAATTCAGGCTGCTCATGAAGGACAGGATTTCTTTGAGTGCTAGAGCAAAGGACAGCTGACCCAGGGGTTCAGGGTCCCCGAGGTTCTGAACAGGGAGGATTCCAGGGTCAGTGATATGCCACTCACGATGGTTTTCTGGCCTGTTCATCACCTGAGCCAGTTTTGAGTTAATATTTTTATTTAAACTTAATTCCTGTTGTTTAAATCCATTCAGTTTAAAAACCTAAATAAATGAAGCTTAATCTCACCAGATACTGTTTGTGTCAAGGCTTGGACTGGAGGGAGACTGACCACTGACCGGGGTGTCATGGCCCCCACCCCGGGGAGCCTTTCTTGCTGACGGCTCTGTGGGGTTGGAAGAGGGTTGATGGGGATGTGTTTTCATTATCGATGTAAGGTGGTATCTGGTATTTTCTGTCTGTTTTTCAATGTGCATTTGTCCCTGCTGTCCCCCTCCTTTGATCTGGTCCCAGCTGTTAATTTACAGATAGGTAAACTGAGGCTGGCTGGGTGGTCAGGCTTATCACTGACACTAAGCCCATGTTCCCGGTTCCTGTGGCCATGTGCCTTCCACTGCCCCCTGCAGTCCCCTTTCCTCTGAGGCAGGACCTATTTCCAGGGACGTTTTCTTCACCATTTAAAAGAACGAACAGGTCACTTTGGGGGATGAGTCCGGGGGCTGGGGATGAGGCTCAGAGGTACGCACAGCAGAAAGTGCGTACCCTGGCAGCAGCCTGCGGAGGGCTGTTCTCACAACAGATATTTCACTCATTTGACTCCAATTTTAGGGTAAATTGGGGTTCCTCTCTTGGGGCACACCAGCTGTCATGCAGTTGCGTGCTCACACGGATTTGTTTTTGTGCATAACAGAATGCGAACAGGCATTCCTTTATGGCCACCTCCCCACTGGTGGGCAGGCCTGGAGTGGCCTTGGCCTGGTTTTCCCAGTCCCTTGTGCACACCCCACCAGGTGCTCTGTTGGCACCTGGCTTTATTCCATGGGGAAACCACAGCTTAGGGAAGGTGAGAAACTATGGCCGGACAGAGGCATTGGATTCAGGGTTTCCTTTGTCCCACCTTCCCTCTGAGCTGGAGCTTAGGAAAGCCCAGGAGAGACTGGCCAGGGTCAGAGCAGGCCTGACAGACCTCTCTCCTGAACGCTGCTGGCCCCTGTGGCAGGGGAAGGCGGAGAAAATGTCTTCCCACAAACACATTTGGTCAGCACGTCTCTGGGTGGCTGCCACACTGCCCTGGCTGGTTTCACAGGCTCACCGATGCCTTGAGAGACTCTTTAAAGGGAAAGAAGATGGGAATGAAGTAGGCAGGCAGTGCCTGGACTGAGGGCATTACAATGGCAAATAGCCAATTCCACCTGGCAGGCTGCAAAGGAATGAGATGTTGCAGGTGGGCAGGCCTCGAGCTACCACCAGGGCCTGCGTGTTGCACAAGTTCATTTACAGGAAATGATTGGAATAAGCAAACCTGTAGGGGTAGAGAGCAGGTTGAGGTTTGATGGACAGCTGGGCATGCCTGTGATCCTAGCAGTGTGAGGCCAAGGTGGGAGGAGCACAGGTTTGAGGCCAACGGGGGCTACTTAGCGAGACCCTGCCTCAATATAAAAAATAAAGTGGAATGGGGGTGAGCTCAGAGGGAAAGTGCCCCTGACTGGGTTCAGCCTCTAGTACCAGAAAAGGGCCAGGGTTCTCAGAGACCTGGGAGATGCAGGATGGGGACATTGGAGGGGTGGAGACTAATAGGGAGCGGGCGTTCTTTGGGGCGTAATGAAAATGTTCTGGAATTGATTTATAATGATGAATGAGTCACTTCAAATATTTAAAAGCCATTGGTGTTTTGTGAGCATGTTTGAGCATGCACTGGGGACTGAACCCAGGCCTTTGTGCCTGTTAAACATGCTGTGGACCTATCCTGTCACTGAGCTATGACCCTGGCCACTTAGTCCCTAAAAACCGCTGCATTAGGGGCTGGGGATGTGGCTCAGAGGTAATGCAGTGGCCTGGCATGTGTGAGGCACTGGGTTTGATTCTCAGTACTGCAAATAAATAAACCAAATAAAGGTCTACCAACAACTTAAAAAAGTTAAAAATAAATAAATTTACATTTTAATAAAATTGCAATATACAGTTTACATGGTATGTTGTGGATTCTCTCTCTCTCTCTCTCTCTCTCTCTCTCTCTCTCTCTCTCTCTCTCTAGGATTTGAATTGAATACAGTGGCACTTTACTAATGAGCCTCTTTCAGACAGGGTCTCACTCACTGGCCTTTAACCTGTGATCCTCCTGCCTCAGCTTCCCTAGTAAACGTGTTTTTAAAAGATAATTAATTAGGGCTGGGGTGTAAGTCAGTGGTAGAGCACTTGCCTACTATGCATGAGCCCCTGGATTTCATTCGCAGCCGAGAGAGAGAGAGAGAGAGAGAGAGAGAGAGAGGGGGGGGGGGGGAGGGAGAGGATTCAACAACAGTAACAAGACTGTCTCCCTCAAGCCTACTGTGTTAGACAGGACACATCTGTGGACCGGTTGGGCCTTTCCAGTTCAGTCTGTGGGTGTAGAAACTAGCATCAGAGTTGTGAACTAGTCTTCAGGGCAGGGGGACAAGTGTCTTGGGAGGGACATGGTCACTGCTGCCTTCTCCATGTTGATGTTAGTTCTGTTGCCTGGAAAAGCCGCCGATGTTGACTGGATTGTTTGTGTTTATCTTTCAGATGATGGATGCCATAAAAGGAATGATGACAGAAATATACAACAATCTTTCCAAGAACACTACTGGAAGCACAATCGCTGAGGTTAGAGGTGACAGGACTCCTTACTTGCTCTGGACCTTAGAGGCTGCTAGAAGGGTGGCATGGTGCATGAGCTGCCCGGGCCCCCCGCTACTGCCCCTGCTGTCTGAGGGGTGGGTGAGCTACTTCCTCCCCGATGCCCAGCCAGCAGCTGTTCCACTTGGCCTGGTGTGATAAATAGCCCCGTCTGAACCAGAGTTAGTCCGTGGGTGAGACGGGAGACCCATCCTTCCGCTTCATGTCGAATCAGCGCCATGGTCTTTCCATAGGCCTGCGCCTCTCTGCAGTCATGATCCAAGCATTTGCATACAGAAATTCTCAGGTGGCCCAGAGAAGCCTCAGACTCATAAAGTCTCCCTTGGGAAAGCAACTTTCTAGTGCAGTTTGCAGAATTCTCTCTCTGGCTGATAGACCTGGAGAATGCGCTGCTGGCTGTGTGGCCGGGACAGCATGGGTCAGGTGCTCGCAGGTCACCAGGTGAAGTGCAGGTGGCAGGGTTTCTGGAGTCCTGAGAGGTGAGGACAGAAGTGGGGAGTCCCATGCACAGCCTCTGACATTGTTCTTTGTTTTGCTCAGACCTGGCAGTTTCTGAAGGAAAACTGTGTGAATATGAAGGGTCAGGAGGAATGGATTTAAGAATTCATTTTAAGAACCTGCCTGTGATTGAGGGTGAGCGGGTTCCTAGTGTCTCACCTGAAGCCCTGGTCAGATGTGGGCCGCACTTGTTTTCCCATTTTGAGGGTGATATCCAGCTCCCTCCTCCAACCACTAGACATGAGATTTTGGCACTGAACTGAGGTTCTTCACCCTCAGAGGGTAAATCAGAAGTTTTCAACCTCAGCCCCTGTGACGTTTGTGCTGGGGACTATCCTTAGCAGCACCACTGGCCTCTACCCACTAGATGTCAGTAGTAATCCTCAGTTGTGACAACCAAAGTGACTCCATATTGTCATTGTCATGTGTGACCAAGCCACTTGATAATTAAAACCCTCAGGTCAATTCAGTCTAAGCTTACTTTTCCCTTTAAATCAATATGGTCCAAATTGGGGTTATCCTCCTCCTCCCAAGATACCCTTTCATTTCAAAGAAATGGGATTTGGAATTTCAGATGAATGATCCACCTGGATGTTTTATTAGGTGAAAAGTCACAGCTACCTTTATTTAATTTTCTTAGACAAAAATGCAAACATTTTTTTTTTACTTTTGGGGTGCTGGGGATTGAACCCAGTGGTGCTCTGACACTGAGCTTCACCCCAGCCCTTTCTGTTTATTTTGAGACAGGGTCTTGCTTAGTTGTCAAGGCTGGCCTTGAACTTGCCATCGTCCTGCCTCAGCTTCCTGAGCCTCTGGGATCACAGGCTGTGCCACTGTGCCCGCCTCTATCCAGACTTTTGATGTATTGTTTGGGGGACTTGGTCCTTCACTCTAAGTGGCTTTTTCAAGTGACGGGTCTTTCCATGGTAGATGGTACTCTCCGCTGGTCTTCAGAGCCAGCATTTCTCATGAATTTGGGTCCACCTGGGACTCCCATCCCCAGACAGGTGCTGGGGGAAGGTCAGCGCCCAGCCTGGCTGCCTGAGTCAGCCATGTGGCACCTGTGACCTTTCTGATCAGGAGAGGCTGAGCTCTTGGGGCCTGCTGGGGAGCAGCTGGACCCGCTCAGGGCCTCGTCAGAACCTGCTTTTCTCCTTCCAGATCCGCAGGCTGAGGATCGAGATCAAGAAGCTGCAATGGCTGCACCAGCAGGAGCTCTCCGAGATGAAGCACAACCTGGGTAGGTCCTGGCTGCTGGGCCTGCACTGGGCAGGGCTGGGGGGAACTTCGCGCCTCTGAAGTTGGGCCCAGAAGTGGACAGAGTCAACACTGGGCCAGTGGGACGCCATTTGTGTGGGTTGAGGGGGGTGGGCACACGGAACCCTGGGGAGGCTCACCCATAGAGGTCACTGGTAGGAACCCTGCTTTCATTTGAGGCTACCGACGATGGTCACTGACTTACAGTGGTTCACCTTCCAACTCCTCCATAACTTGCTGGTGCCTCAGTTTCTTCACTTGAAATCTGGATACATAATACAAACCCTCCACATAGGGTTTCTTTAGGAATTGCATTAGCCAGTGCATAGAAAAATGATTAAATCCGAAGAGATGTCTCCTGAGAAGGGTCTGTGGGGTTCCCAGAGGAGACGGGGACCACGTGGTACATGGCCAAAAAGACTTTCAGCACAAGCCAGACAGAGGCAGAGACAGAGTGATTCAGGACAGGCGAGCTCAGGCTGCCCAAGTGTGGGAGCAGCCGTGGCCTGGGCTGGGGCTGATATTTACAGAGGGACTTCGTCTGAGCTGGGCTGGAGATGGAGCCCGGGTGGGGCTACACAGTTTCCCCCAAGTTTTCCTGGGTTTGCATATTTCCCTCATTTCACAGGGGCGTGGGCCAGGGTTTGCAACTGTGCTTTCTGAATCTCAATGGCTTGTGGTGTCTCCTTTAAGAGTCTGCATTCCTCTCTATCCTGAATCCCTGTGTCAGTTGGGTGGCTGGGAGGCTCATATCTGCTACCATGTGGTGGTTTTCTTTGTCCCTGCCCCTTATTGGAGTACTAGAGATTAAACTCAACCACTGAGCTACAGCCTCGTCCTTTTATTTTATTTTTTAATTTTTGATACAGGGTCTTTTTAAATTGAAGAGGGCCTTGCTACATTCTGGAGGCTAACCTCAAACTTGGATCCTCCTGTCTCAGCCTCCCCAGTCTCTGGGACAACAGGCTTGCATCCCAGCTCCCCACTGTGTTTGTGTTCCTTATAAGGGATTAATTTTCTGAATTTTTTTTAAAATTTCAGAAAGAGTATTTCAGGAATTGAACAATGATTCATTTTCATTTATTTCTAACCAGGTCACTTGCAAATGATTTGCAAGTGGACTTATTTTCTGAAGTAACTGGACTGCCTGATGTAAACCTAGAGAACTCTCATTACTGGGTGACCTGACACTTGTCCTTAGCACAGTGATCAGCCCCAGAGTTCCTCTGATGCTTTGGATCTAGGGCCACAAGACACACCCCTGAGTCCCAGGCCCTGCTTTACCCCATTTCCTCCTCTGGGAGAGGAGCGGAATGGTAGTCCTTACCCCTCAGAATTATTAGAAGGGTTCCACAAATTAATTAAGAGCTTCAAGCCACACCTGCAGATAGTAGAAGCTGTGTAAGTATTTGATAGGGAAACAAAGTGTATGCTAATGATTACTTGAAAGGTTTGTTTGAGGAAATCCTGGGACGTCTTGTGGGGTTGAGAATCACCATTGGTGTCCTCTTGTCTCCATACTGGGGACCTCATGGACACTGTCACGTGTGGCTCTGTAGGCCTGAATGGCGGATTCCCTGTTTACAGATGATGATTTGGCTCAGGGAGGCTGTGTTATGGGCCCAGAGACACACAGCTGGTGGGGGTCTTTCCAAGTCAGGGTTTACACCCCTGCCTTTCTGAATGTGGGGGTGCAGCCACCCTGTGCTCAGCTGGGGTCAGTGATGCAGCCTGCGCCCCTGCCCCTCCCCCAGAACTGACCATGGCTGAGATGCAGCAGAGCCTGGAGTGGGAGTGGGACAAGCTCATTGCCAAGGTGAAGAAGCAGCTGGAGCTGGAGAAGCAGCAGGCGGTGGACGAGACCAAGAAGAAGCAGTGGTGTGCCCACTGCAAGAAGGAGGTCATCTTCTACTGCTGCTGGAACACCAGCTATTGCAACTACCCCTGCCAGCAGGCCCACTAGCCCAAGCACATGAAGTCCTGCACCCAGTCAGGTAGTGCACACCCTGGGTGGCAGGGCTGGGGCCTGGGCTCCCAGGGACCCCCGCTGAGGGCAGCTGGCTGATTAGCAAGCATGAGTGTGGTGCACAGACCGAGCTGATCATGGGTGCCTGGCTGCTGACTAGTGTGCAGGGCTTTTTATCTTCTCTTAGTGCGGGGATGGTCCTCAGCATCCGTGGGGCACAAGGCAGCCCCAAGACAGCGGGCCGGCCCCCATGTCAGCAGTACTCTGGTGGATCCTGTTTTGGGGGTGAGAATAGACCCACAGCTCTAAATAACGGGGATTCTTATGTGGAGGCCCAGGTGTAGGTGTGTGGCCTGTGTTAATGAGGCCGCAGCAGCAGCTATGACCCCCTCCCCAGCTGGAGCAAGCAGGCTTCAGCTGAGAGTCCTCAGCAGAGAGGACTACCCCGTTGGGGTTTATCAATAACACTTCAAAAGTTAATCTTTAGAGCTAGTGTTTGTGGCAAAGGACTCTAGTTTTATGGGGTTGGAATTGAAAGTTTTGGGCTGGGGTGCAGCTTGTGGTAGAGCACCCTGGGTGCCATGCAGAGCACTTCCCCCTCCCCCAAAATTCTCCATTTAAAAGAATTCACTGAAAATATTATAAAAAACACAAGGTTGTATGTCTGTAGCAAAATTTGCAGAGCTGGCGTGCGAATGATTCAAACTTGAGAAACGGCAGTCCAGGGCTGGCAGACCTGGGAAGGGCCCTAGTGAATATTTGAGGTTTTGTAGCCAGAATCCGGCTGTGTGCCAACAAGATGTCATTCATAAGAACCAGTTGCAGACTCACTTTCTGTCGCCGTCCACGGGAGGTGTCTTCTTATAGTCTTTAGAGTCCTGCTGCCATGACGTGGCACTCCGCTTTTGTCTGGAGTGTGTGAGGTGCCCCATGCGGGCCCTGCAGCTTGGTCACACTGCCCTGCAGCTCTCTGAGTGTGGTGAGCCTGGTTTATATGAGTCACTGTATATATGAGTCCAACGCCCACTGTTCCCAAAAAGTCTCCAGAAGCTCTGTGCTCTCTGACGGGTCTTTCCCACCTGCCTCAGACAAAAACAAGTGTCCAGGGCTGTGGTGGACCTAAGCCTCTAAGTCATGGCGGGCTCTTGTGGACAGGTGTCATTAGCTCCAAGAACACACTTTCCCTTCCAGAATGACTTATTGAATCGCTGAGTATTAGAAAGCCAAGACGCTCTCACAGAACACGACTCGGAGACCTCTGGGTGCCTGGCCTCCCTGGGTCTGCACCTGGACCCTGGGTGGGGCCTGGCCACTGGCGCCATGGGGCACGGAGTGGGCTCCACGCAGGGCCTGAAACCATTGTGATTGGCTTCCCATGGCTTCCCTCTCTCCCCTTTTTCCCAAGTTACCACCCCTAAGCAGGAAGCAGACACCAAGGTGAACACAGAGATTGGGAACAAGCCCTCCCAAGGGGGCTCCTTCAGCACCCAGCACCTTGGACACAACCAGTGCCTCCAAAGAGAAGGAGCCATCAGCTGAGAAGAGCAAGGACAGTGGCTCGGTGAGGACCCCCCTGTGCCTTGGTCAGTGCCACCCACCCTTTGTGTCAAGGACCCTTGCCCTTTTGTGTCCCACCCACCAAAGTCCCATGGTGTCTCAGTTTGTCTGGAACAGTCAGAAGACAGGGGTCGAGGGCATGCCCCCGGGCTCTTCCTCACCAGTGAGCCCCATGGACGGGCTAGAAGGCTGAGTTGGACTGTGCAGGACCTGGCAGCTGCTTTCAGGACCCTCCCAGTTTAGTCCAGCACATCCAGGAGAACTCTGTGATGGGGAGGGTACCACCCACTGTGGCTGCCAGTAGACCCTGTGGCTGTGGAGTACTCAGGATGGCAAATGAGACCAAGCATCAGATTTTAAAATTTGACTTTATTTCACTTAGATGCAAGTAGCCACATCTCGCTGGTGCTGACATATTGGACCATGAAGGTCACACCTGATCATCTCCTGTTGGGCTGTGCATGTGACATCGATCTTAGAGGGCACACGGATCATCTTTTATGTTTGTAGTCATTGTGGACTTCGGACATCATCATCAGATTATCAGTCGAGACCCTGGTCTCAGGGTTGGTACTGCCCCACAAGAGGCTTCCAAAGTGAATGGATCCATTTCTCCTTCTGTGATGCAGCAGACTGTGTTGGTGTTGGGTAAGTCAGCCAGTGGGTGCAGGCCACAGGGAAGGTACTCAAGCTCAGACTGGAGTGCTAGGGAGGGGCCACCCCCACGCCGGAGGAGTCTGGGAGCCAGAGCACAGGTGTGTGTACACATGTCCAGCTCGGCCCCGCGGACCACGCCAGGTGGAGGGCACCTAGATGCTCTGGGAGAGCGTTGAGCACTCCCAGGACTCCCTGGGTTTCCCTGGGGGTCTCCGTTGGCCCCAGTGCCCTGAGTCCATCTTTCTTTGTATTTCTAGACCCTCGACCTTTCTGGCTCCAGAGAGATGCCCTCCTCCGTTCTCTTAGGCTCCAACCAATGCTCTGGTATGTCGCCCCCTGGTGGGCTAATGGCACTTTCATTTTATTTGGGCAGGTTGGGAGCCATCTTGTCAGGGAGCCCAGGGTTTAGGGCAGTGGTTTTCAAGCTGTTAGGGATCTTTGGGGTGCCTCAGCTGGGTGGGCTTGTGGGGTGAGGGTGTGGCTGGACGAGGCAGTTTCCCCACACTTCTATGCACTGGTCAGGATTTACCTGTGTTTTTGTTTAGCAGGGCCCATGTGACACTATTTGGACACAGGGTCCTGCCCTGGAAAATGCCAGGGTAAGCAAAGCCCCATAAAGTCAGCTCCTGAGGGTCTTTAGGCCTTCAGAGAGGTAAAGACAGTGTGGATGTGGGCGGTGTTTCTGGACCATCCTTCCCTCTGGCAGGCTGTTTGGGGTCTTTTCTGAGACATGTGGATTTCTTTCCTGGGGTTCGGGCCACCCTTCTCTCTCAGCCCCATGGTCTCCCCTCTCCCCACCCCCACTCTTTCCTAAACCAGTTCTGTCCACTGCAGGAGGGTTCATACCCAGGCCTTGCTTGTTGAGGACTGTCTTGCTGAATACAGGGTTTTTGCCTATAACCTTTCCTCCAGGGTCTTTTTGCCTGCTGGTTCTCTTCAGTTGGAGACCAAAAACTTAATGTCACTTGTGCACACTGAGTGCTTAGAGGAAGTAGTGTCTGTGGTCAGGTGGGGAAGGTTCCCCAGAGGCCAGGCCTGGAAGGGCCAGTGGGAACTGGTTGGTGGAGATGGTGGAGTGGCAGGAGTGAGTCTAGGGAGGATGTGAACTTGGCCTTGGATTTGATTGAAGTGCCTGTCAAAAAAGCACCACCCTGGGGCTTGGATCGTGGCTCAGTGGTAGAATGCTTGCCTGGCATTTGTGAGGCCCTGGGTTCGAATCTCAGCACCACGTATAAATAAAATAAAGGCCCATCAACAACTAAAAAATATTTTTAAAAAAGCACCATCCTTCATGCTTCCCTTATAGTCCCCAGATAGAACCTCCAGTCATGGCACAGCGTGGCACTAATATGCCACGGCATCTCAGTTCGTTTTAGAACAGAGCCAAAGCGACTTCAGGTCTAGTGGTGTGGTAGCCCCAGAATATCACCCTGCAGTTTGGCTTTCATGATGGTAATTTGAATGAGTTGCAATGATAAAAGCTTCTTTTGGAATCAAAGTTGAAAAAAAAATGAGCTTAAAACAGGTTGAGCAGCCTGTGGAGGGGACTGTGGGTGTGTCAGAGCGAGGGGGGGGCATGAGGAGGGCCAGGCTGGAGAGTGCTGCTGCCCACAGCTGGTGCCGTTCAGAGGTTCTGCAGCTGCGAGGTGCTGGACAGAGGTGGCCCGGGAAGACTCGTGATGCTGTGTGTGTGGGATCTGCCAGGATAAGGATTGCATGTGGCATGGTGGCCAGGAGAGAGTGGTCAGGGCTGGAGGGCCTTTTTGTAGGTGGCCAGAGAGTAAATGAAGCATTGCAGGCTCCTTGGTCTCTGTCCATTTGCTTCGCTCAGCCATGGTAGCAGGAAAGCAGGCCTAAGATGACACAGAACCAAATGTGGGAGTGTGTGTGTGGGTGTGAGTGTGGGTGTATGGGTGGGTGTGTGCTAATGAGTTTGGAAGTGCAGAAACAGGTGTTGGGCTGTGTGGGGCCTGAAGCATCATGGTATCTGGGGACGTGAAAGGAAAGTCACTTGGGAGCCTATGGCTGCTGCCAGTGGGGGACCTGAGCCAGGCAGGTAAAGCCCCTTCTCTGGAGTGTCGAGGGTGGCAGAGGAGTGCTCACTGGTGCTTCCTGAAGGACAAGAGGCACTTGCACTCCTGGTCATGCCCAGTGCCTGGGGGAGAAGTCACTATGTCCTGCAAGGCCCAGAGAAGCTGACTCAGAGGCCCGAGTCACTTGGAGAGTGTTTGCCAAGCCAGGACGTAGGTGACCCCAGACCCGAGCTTCACCCATGGGACTCAGAACAAAGCACTGTTGTTGGAAATCAGAAGTGGTTGTGTCGTGGCACATGGGGCTCAATCACAGGGGCCGCAGACGTGGTCCTGGTCTTGGTGTACGCCTCCTCCCGCTCCCCCACTCCTTCCTCCTGTGTGGCCTGCGTGGCCTAGGTGGCCTGGTGTCCGAGCCCAGTCCTGGGCCGCAGTCTGGCTCACAGGCCCCGGGCACCCCAGCCTTCCTGATTTTTCAGCGTGGCAGTCTGACTCCTCACCTGCACCCGAGCCTCGGTGCAGCTGGAGGAAGTTCCCCAGGACCACAGATCTGTCCCATGTCTCATTTAATCTTGATCAATGACCTCAGAAGCACAGCTCCTCATCCTCCTTATCCTTCCTTCCTCCAAACCCCTTTCACCAGCCCCCATCCCGCCCTGCAGAGATGATGTCGTTCCCTGCTCTCAGACTCCACCTGTCCTTCCCGCTGCCCTCTGTGTGACATGGGTGACGCGCTCTGCCTTTCCCTCCTGGCCACCTTCAGCATCTGACCGCTTCTTGCTTCCTGTCCTTTGTCATAACCAGATTCTCCGCTCAGCTGCCTCCTTCCCTAGGTGTTTAATATGCTTCTCTCTCTCTGTGCTCCCTCCTCCACTGCCCATGTTGCCAATGGAATGTTGTACCCTGAAGGCCGTGTCTTATATCTGCACTGTGCACACTGGTGGCCACTAACCACCTGTGGCTGTGGAACCCTCAAGCTGTGACTAGGAGTGGAGTTTTATATTTTATTTTAGTTGACTAAACAGTAGCTCTGCCAGGTGCAGTGATCCACACCTGTAATCCCTGCTACTCAGGAGGCTGAGGCAGGAGGGTCACAAATTCAAGGCCAGCCTTAAAACTTAGCAAGGCCCTAAGCAACTTAGTGAAACCCAGTCTCAAAATAGAAAAGGGCTGGGGATGTGTCTCAGACACTTGAGGGTGGTGTGATTCACAGGACTTCCATGTCTAAAGGGGCCTTCCCCGAGGTGTTTTTTGTGAAGATTGGTACTACACTGAAGGAGACGTGGTCCCCCGTTTTAGGGCTTGGAAAGAGGCTGGGCAAGGGCAGCAGGGCTGGGGTGTGGCTCTACTGTGGAGCACTTGCCCTGCATGCATGAGGTCCTGGGTTCCATCCCCAGCCCCACCAACACCCGCACCCCCAAATAATTAAAAATTTTTAAAAAAGTATTTTGGCAGAGGAGGAGTACCAACCAGAGGGTCATCGTCAAAATGGAAGGACAGGAGTACTTGGCTCCAGGGCACTGGTGACATCTGCGTGTTGAGCAGCAGGCTGTGTGGACAGGGCCATGGGCTGTGGACCCATGGGATTGCAGACCTGAGTGTTCTTATTTCTTCCCAAAGCCACGTGAGGGGTCGTATCAGAGCAGCAAGACTCTCATCTCCAGTCCCCTTACCGATCTGGCTAGCTGGTCAGTGCATGGGAGATGTGCAGGTGGTGGACCGTACAGGGGGCACCTGAGCTGTCTCCAGTACCTGTGCCAGGGGGGGACTGAGGAGTCTGTGTGGAAGGAGAGGTTTAAGTAGGGGCGTGTGAGCTCCCTTGGTAGGTGGCATAGGCCTCCCCTGTTCATATATATGCTGAGGATTGAACCCAGTGCCTCACACATGCTAGGCAAGCACTGTACCGCTAAGCCACGACCCCAGCCCCTCTACTTGTCCATCTTTTAAGACTTCACCTGAGCCTGTGCTGTGGTGTATGCCTGTAATCCCAGTGACTTGGGAGGATGAGGCAGGAGGATCACAAGTTTAAGGATAGCCTCAGCAACTTAGTGAGACCATGTCTCTCAATACAAAAAGGGTTGAGGATGCAGCTCAGTGGTAAAGCACCCTGGTTTAGTCCCTAGGACCCCCAGCACCCCCCAAAAATAAAGATTTTGCCTAAAGCAGCTGCTCAGGATAACAGAGGAGAATAGGAACTAGAACAGGGGTCTCTCCCCAACAGTCTCCTGCTGGTTCTGATTCTTATTGGCATCCTCTCCTGTACCTCCATTTCCTGATTTGAGTTTTAGACAAAAGGCGAGCATGAGGTCCTCTTGTGACTTCCTCCTTCAATGACACTTAGGCTACTACTTGGGGGCTATCTTGCAGGCCGAGTACTCAACACCCCCTCTCCTTGTGCTGCTGCTGGAGGCACGGTCCACTGACCCCACTTGACCCCCATCTCCTTCCTCCTGTACACTTTTGGGGACAGGAGCATCTGCTCTGTAACCATGGTCAAGTCTCCTTTTGTCCGTCTGAGTCTGCAAAGGTGAAGGGACAGTGGCCACCTGCAGGACTGGGGTAATGGGGTCATCCTGGAGTCCCTGGTCTGCTGAGGTCCATTTCCTTCTCAGGCTTCCTTGCCCCTGGAGTCCCCCATCCCGGAATCTTATTTTTAGTTTTTTCCACCAAACTCCTGACCACTCCAATTATTTCATCAAGACCCCTTTCTTCCACTTTTCGCCTCTTTCAGCTGCAGGTTTGATTTGTGGGCAAGGAGTGGCCCTCGCTCCTCTGTAGCCCTGTCCCCCCCCCCAGCTTCTCCAGCATCCTCTGTCCCTCCCTGTGCCTGGCCAGGTCACCACTGTCTTCATTGACCCGGGTGCTGCCTTCCTCACCATGGCGTCCAGCGCCTGCCTGTCTTCTTGTTGGATTAGGCTGTTAGCAGATCAAGTGGTTTTGAGGATTTTGCTTTCAAAAATCCTGACACCCTGGGGCTTATCAAGTGCCGGTGGCTTTCCCGTTATCGTGCGCCTTGTCCCCCGCCTGTGGCGTGTGCTGTGTGCAGTGGTCCTGTTAGGGTTTGATCACGTGTTTGAAGGCTGCAGTGGTCCTCAGTGCCCCGGGTGGGAGCGCAGGGTGCCAGCGCAGGAGCCAGTGGGTTCTGGAGCTAGCGCCCTCGGGGTTGTGCGGAACCTGCCCGTGACCAACTCTGAGCTGCCTTGGTATCTCTTCAGTTAGCAAAAGGTTTGACAAGCAGCCTGCCTCTACCCCAACCACCACAGACCACCAGCCGCACCCCAACTACCACGCCCAGAAGTGTAAGTATGACCCTGTCCAGCCGCAGCCAGCTCGGCTCACCAAGCCTCATCCTGCGTGTGTTCCTGTTTCTCTGTGGCCGTGTCCTCCTGTCCTGTCGCGTGGGCTCCCCTTGCTCTGCAACTTTCTTCTTCATGGTGCCTCTCGAGGCCACTGCCCGCCGCTTCAGGGTGAGAGCCGGCTGGGCTGGGCTTCTGGAGGGTCAGCCTCCATCTGATCCCAAGACACTAGCTCTCCGCCGACCGTGGGACGAATCCACCGGGCCCCCAGCTCCCTCCACCCCCTCCGCCAGGCTGTGTGGCCATGCTGCACCTGGCCCGCTTCCCCGGGTCTTCCAGGACCCCAGCTGGTCCCAGTTGTCACCAGAGCCGCAAGGGTGACTGCCTTGTGGGATTTTTCTCATGTGTAGTGATGACCAGCAGCTTCACCCCCTAGGGACTCTCCAGAAGAGCTCCAAGTGCAGGGATGCCTAGTGGGGAGGGGCCAGAAGATCAAGGCTCCACCCCTAGCCCCGTTTCTGCCTGCCACAACACTGCCCCCTTCTGGCCAGCCACACAAGTTGCCAAAAAGTTCTCTCCTGGTGACACCTGGCTGCCATCCGAACCTCCTGCCCCTTGTCTCCCAGATACAGAGCTCCCGACTTACCTCACATGCCTCTTGCTAGGCAATAAGAATTGCAGCTCCGTTAGGTAATAGTAGGGTCCCTTCCTCAGCCACCCCGATTCTGCCTCTAAGTTTGATCCATGACCCTTTCCAGCCCAGTGTCCTCCCCTCACCTCAAGAATGCTTAAAAAAATAATCTGTCTGAAATAGTAACTTGGTAAGTGACCCGAGGCGGCGGGATCTGGCTGCTGGCCGTGGAGCCTGCAGAGCTGGACTGCTGGAGGAGGGCCATCATTGGCTCCTCTCTGACTCTTCTGTCACCTCACTTGTCACTCAGCTTCCTTCCTAGTGCTGTGTCTATGTGTCCTTGAAGCCATCCTAGGTATTGCTCTGGTTCTGCATCCTTTTTTGACCCCTACGTGTGTCCTTCCTGGGAGCCACTGGGCCTGTGCACCCAGGTGGGCTTAGCCCTCTGGTCCACAGTTGTCCTTTTTTTATGATCCTCCCCCTTGGGTGGACACTTGTGATTTGGTCATAGGTTTTATTTTTCAAGTTGCCTCTAGATTGGTTCGAGGACCATGGTGGGTGGAAGCACACTGCCTGCCAGTCTCCAGGGCCTGCCTCCCTGGCTGAGCCTGGATGCAGGGAGTGCCCGGGATGTAGTGAGGGTACAGGTCTGGCTTAGGAAATCCTTCCTGGGCAACTGAGCTCCTGTTCCAGTAATCTTCGTCCTTGACACCCTACTGATTTTGCAGCCAGTTCTGTTAAGTCCTAAAAATCCTAAGCTAGAGGTCCTAAGTTTCACCTCTGTATTCTAGAGAGCCACAGATTTGGGGAGATAGACGTGGAGGGATTTGGACCGTCCATGGCATACAGGGTGGGGAGGAGAAGATGGCTTCCCAGCTAAGAGAGCGCATGGCCGGTGGAGCAGGCAGGGGTGCTGACTGGTGCCTTCCCTCTGCAGACCATTCCCAGAGTAGCAAGTCCAGTTGCTGGGGCAATGGTGAAGAGAAGCGAGGGTTGGCCCGCTCCAAGCTCGACCCCGGCTCCAGCGCCAAGAGCCTCATCCCGAAAGAGTCTTGGCTCGATGCCTTCTGGGACTAGGGGCAAGCTGTGACCAGACTGCCCGTCTCCCTTCCAGCTGCGAGGCCCCAGCTCCTCTGAGCCTCAGTTTCCCCCTCTGTAAAACAGGGCTTATAAGATCAATGAGTCCTTGGATGAGCTCGTTTGCCACGTCTGTTTGAAACTGGTGTTTTCCAAATCCTGGTCTGTGAAACTGATGTAAAAGATTGTGACCTGCATCATTAAAAACTCAAGGGTGGAGTGGCAGGATGTGTATAGTGGTACAGTGGGCATGGCTTTGTGAAATACTTAAACATGTATACGCTGGTGCTTATCTACACACACACGTTACACTGGGTCTTAATGCAATCTTTGCTTCTGGTTTATTGCTATATTCAGAATATATTCTTTTTTTTTCCTTTAAGAGTTCAGGTCTCATTATGTTGTCCAGGTGGCCTTGAACCCTGGGCTCAAGTGCTTATTCTGCCTCAGCCTCCTGAGCAGCTGGCACTGCAGGGTGGCCACTGTGCCTGTCTTATGCAGCCTAAAGGTTTGAAAGCCACTGTTTTAAGTGCCGTGTCTGAGGGCACTCAGGGCTGGCAGTGATGCTGGAAGGCCATTCTGCTATCATCTCATTTTATGGCTGATAAAACAGGTTTGGAGAAGGGAAGCTCCTGCGGTTGGAAAGGTAGGGCTGGGTCACCACCTGGGCCCCGAATCTCAGCTCTTCCTCTCCAGGATGGGGATAAGGTGGGCAAGGGCTTTGCCCAGGGCCTGGTATGTGGCAGGGTTAGAAGTGGGCTTGAGATTGTGCTCTCATTGGCCACACAGGTGGCCAGGAGGCTCCCTTACCTGGGGTTCTGTGGGCCCAGATACCAGCAGGTGGGAGCAGGCAGGGCAAAGAGGTGCCCTCTCCATAAACAGATCGCCACATAGTTCATGATGACTTTTAAACTCAGTGTCTGTCCATCGTCAGATTAGTGCCGTCCTTGACAAACTTCTGGATGTCAAAGTAAGCCCCCGCATTTTTTTCACTTGATCTACTGTTACACCCTGGAGGCCGGTGGGAGGGTTGACATCCAGTGAGCCTTTGTTTCAAGATAAAAAAAAACATGAAGGACGGGGCCACAGCTCTGGGCTAGAGCACCCTGGGCTCAGTCCCCAGCACATGCACACACGTGGGGCGCCCAGGTTCAGAGCTGGGCAGAGGGCAGGACCTGCCTTCCCCATCCCTGCAGGCTGCCTGATAGTGCTTGAAGCCACCAGCCCCCTCACATTGTGTCTGCTGAGATCCGGTCAGTGCAGAAGGGACCTCACGGGAACTCCTGGGCCTGAAAAGGCCGTAGATGGAGCTGCCATCGCATCAGAGTGATCCCGGCAGTGAGCACAGCCTGAAGGAGATGCTTTGGGAATCTGTTCAAGAGAGGACCTGAAGTCCCCCAGCACATGCACACACACATTGGGGGTGTGTGACCTGCAGTCCCCCAGCACATGTGCACACACTTGGTGGGGGTGTGTGTGTCTTGGTCCCACGTCAGGGCATCTAAGGGCAGCACCAGCCAGCTGTGGGCTTGCACTGCCCCCTGGTGGTCACTGGTAAGTACAGCTTTAGCAACCATTGCCTCAACCTAGGCTCAAAGCACCAGGAACACTGTCCAGTGCTTTAAACCCTTACCCAGAACGAACTTTGGCCCCAGCAACACGGATGTACCTCGAAGACAGCGTGAGAGGGCCTGGTGTGGTGGTGCATGCCTGTGATCCCAGTGATTCAGGAGGCTGAGGCTGGAGGACTGCAAGTTCAAGGCCAGCCCAAGCAAGGACAGACAGTGCTTTACCACTGAAAATCTTGGTTGGGTAACAGCCTCACAGCTTCATCTCTAAGTGTGTCCATGTGACCCACAGATGAAACCAAAGGAGAGGAACAGAATTTAGGATGGAGGGCAAGATGGTGGATTTGAGGGACATGTCTTGAATTCTGTATGGGGCGTGTTATCTGAGGTCACCCATTCCTGAAACTTTCAGTCCAACAAGCCAAGGAAGTCTGTTTTGTTTAAAGCCACTTTGTTTCTGTCATTTTAAATGGGACAAAAAACAAAGCCCAAAGACAGCTCTCTGAATTCTAAATCCCTCGGCCAGGCAAATCCCTGCTTCCTCTCCAGAGGCCAATCTGGGGACATCTGTGGGGTCTCCATCCTGCTGGGCTTCTCTGAAAGATCTGGAGTCATTCGGAACCTCTGAGAGGCAAGTCCAGAAGAGTCGACCTCATCTACTTCTAGAATGTTCTGGAGAGCCACAAGGGACACAGGAAAGACAGGTAGGTCGGGACAATGGACTTGGTGATTTGCCTGTTGGTCCATTCAGCCAACCATTGGTCTTTCACCAGGGATGCGTCCATCCATGTGCCACCCACACCTGTCCACCCAACATGCACAAAGTTCTGCTTTATGGTGGGGACTGAGAATACAGAGAAGAGAAAGATGCCGTCCTTCTCTTCCAGCAGCTCTGGATCATCCAGAATCCCAGCTCAGATGCGTCAAGACTGGACTGCCACCTCTTCAACCCTTGGTCATCACAGCAGAAAAGCAGTCCACACCCATTAACTTCAACGTTAAGGGGAAGGTCCATCTGTTTTGCTCAAAATTTTCCTGTGTGCTCGACTGAAATTCCATTAGTGTTTCTAATGGGCACCTGTTAAGTGAAAAAGTCTTTTAAATAAGTAATTGATTTTATTTTCCCAGGTAGTAAGCTTTGGTGCTAGCAGAAGGGGAAGTGGAAAGATTGTCACCACACATGGTGCCTGTGGAAGGGGGGCCGTGGGGAGATGGGGCACCCAGGAGTTTCCCTTCCTGTATCTGGGCAGCTCTGCTCCATCTCCTTCTCCACTCCAGCCAGGAACCAGTCCATTCATTAAAATCCTCTGTTCATCCCGGAAGAAGCCTGAGCTTGCAGCCCATAGGAGCCTGAGCAAGGTGCTCTAGGCAGGGGGAACTGGTGATCGGGGGAGGGCAGGTGGCTTCGTTTTGTCCCGTTGTTAATTTATAGCCTGGCCTGCACTCTGGCTGTGCTCTGGCACCTGTGCTTGTTCCTTGGTGGCTGGTCTGGCAGCTGAACATGGCATGGGGGCTCGGGGGCAGCTCTGGTTTCAGGGCTCTCTGCTCAAGTCGTGCTCTGGGGGGACAATCATCCTCTAGCATCTGTGAGGGAGGTATCAGGCTATTGGGAAGACTGTGGCTCACCTTTGTTTTTAAAGATGGCTGTGGACAGCACAGGCGCCCCTCAGAGCAGGCCGAGTGGGAGCGGCCCTGGGCTGTGCTTTCGAGGGCACGGCCGGGATCTAGGTGCCAGAAGGCCCAGCCCAGGGCATGGGGGACCCTGAGGCCAGCGCAGGCCCCGCCTGCCCCACTGCAAAATGTAAACGTGGTTTTATTTAATGCCTTTTATCCATCACAAAGTACTGCTCCCTCCCCAGTGTACTCCTCTCCCCAGGAAACAAGATGGCAGCATAAGGCCTGATCAGCCACTGCTGTCACAACCTGGTCAACTCCTGAGGATCTCTGGCCCCCAAGGCCTCATGATGGGGATCGAATTCCAGCGAGAGCCTGGAGGGGCCTCACGACGTAGCGAGAGCAGAGTCTGGACAGGAACCTCTCCCTCAATGTGTGACATGGCCTTGTGGCCCTGTGGCCTGCACCCTGGTGGAAGACGGGAGGGTCGGTGGGTGCCCAGCTGGCAGCCATGCTAACCTGCACTGTGTCCCAGCACAACATGCCTTTCTGGCGGATTTCCTGCCGCGCCGACCTGGAGGCGCTCAGGCATGCGCTGGAGCTCCAGTACCTATAGCAACACCTGACACCTGCCGTCGCCACACCCACAGGGCCGCTGGATGCCCAGCCTCCCCTCCAAGAGCCCCAAAGGCCCGGACACCAGACCCCAGGCAGAGCGCTGCACCCCGAGGACTGTCCAGTGGCCGTCGCAGAAACCGTCCAGGGGGACCCCGAAAGCAGAGGGACGGTGGCGTAGGGGCGGAGGCTGCTTGGAGTCCTGAATTCTGCAAGACGCAAAGGACACCAGATGCAGGCCTGCAGTCCCAGGACCACTGACCAATGGACCTGCGCTGCAGAACTCACCCGCTGTGGTGTAGAGGGTCCCCAGTCCTGCTCCCCCAGGGAGTTGGGCTCGCTGGGATGGGGCTGGCTCCACTGGAAGGAGCACAGCTGCTCTGAACTCCTCCTTCCTTCCTTCCCTCCTTCCTTCCTCTTTTCCTCCTTCCTGCCCCTACCCCACCATTGGGGATGAACCCAGGGGTGCCCACACCGAGCTGCACTCCCAGTCCTCGCCATAGGGGTGACAAGAGCGAGGTGACTAGACGGCTGGCCAACTAAGAGATGGCAGAACATCTGGGCGGGTAGAGGATGATGGATAACGATGTCTCGAGGGTAGTTGGGTGGACTGTGGGATGGAAAATCGCAGGGACAATCAGACAGTTGCATGGTGCATGAGGGCATGGCTGGAAGGAGGGACAGATGGCCACCAAGGTCAGTGAATGGACAAGTGGTGCGGTGGCAGGGTGGGTGCCTGTGAATGGAGGGCCCAGGAGGTGACGCTCTCTAACGCTGCCTAGAGCACCTGCCTAGGGCTCCTATGGGCTGCAAGCTCAGGCTTCTTCCGGGATGAACAGAGGATTTTACTGGATGGACTCGTTCCTGGCTGGAGTGGAGAAGGAGATGGAGCAAAGCTGCCCAGATCCAGGGAGGGAAAGTCCTTGGTGCCCCATCTCCCCAAGGCCCCCCTTCCACAGGCACCATGTGTGGCTTATATACTTCTTTTTAAAGGCATATTTCTTTTAAAATAAATTGATCTGGAGGGTGGATTTGACACTCAGAGAGGTTGACTAAGTTGTTTGTTAGATGATTGAAGAATCAGGAGATCCATCCCATGTGCACACACTAGGTCCATGAATAGTGGCCACAGAACCCCCGCCCTCTCCTCATGCCCAAGATCACAGATGCGGGATTTTCTTTTTCATTAGCTTAATGCTGTCTTTATTAACTGGGAAGTACTCCTGGAACACGCATAGGCAGAGCATTCAATAAAAAGCACACACGTGCATTAGCCCTGCCGGCCAGCCCCTGCCGAGTGCCTCTGGGATCCCCGCAGAGCCCAGAAACAGTCCAGGGCTACCACGGGTGCAGCCAGAGGCACAAGGGGGATTTGCAGAAGGAAATTACTCAGGATGCTTCTGCGATTTGCAAATGGGAATGGACTAGCCAGCGATGGCCAGGAGGAGCAGGCTGCCGATCTGTGTTCTTGATGAGGAACATGGAGCCTAGTCGGTACAGCAGGACTTTGGCCAGGGAGGGATCAGTTGGGTGGTGGTGACCAGCACGTTGACACAGTTGGGCCTGAGGAAGGAGACTGGGGATTAGAACTCAAAGGTACCCAGGCCAGGCCTCCCCACCCTGCAGCAGGAGCCTGGAGTCGTAGATGACTCTGGGGCCATAGTCAGGTGTGGGTGAAGCCCAGGGATTCCCCAGCTCTTCCTGTCTTCAGGCCTCCAGATGGTTGATGTTAACATGCAACATGGATGTAGTTCTTTGCTTATTTTTAAAAACATTTTTAGTTGCAGATGGACACAATACATTTATGTATTTACTTTTATGTGGTGCTGAGGATGGAACCCAGGGCCTCACACATGCTAGGCAAGTGCTCTACCAGTTAGCCACAACCTTGCTTATTTAATAGCAAATGTTTATTGCAAGATCCATGTGTTTGTTTAATTAGCTGCAAGTGTCTAGGTGATGTAATTGGGTCACAGGGACTGAATGTAGGACCATAGGGAGGGTGGGGGCAGGGGCAAACTGGAGACCAAGTGCCAGTTCTGAGCTCCATTCTAGGCCTTTTTATTTTATTTTGAGACAGAGCCTTCCTTGCTAGGTGCTGAGGCTGGCCTTGAACTTGCAGTCTTCCTGCCTCAGCCTCCTGAGTCACTGGGACTACAGGTGTGGGCCACTGTGCCCAGCCCCTTCTGATCTTTGGAGAGAATCCAGAACCCTGAGGCCTGCTGGACCCCAAGAAGTCTCTGCCTCTACTTGCTGGGCTATGCTATCGGGGCAAGGCAGCCACTGTGCCTCCCACAGGAAGCTTAGGAATGGCTGCTGGAGGCATCCAGCTCTCCTAAGTGTGGGAGGTGGAGCCACCTCTGTCTCCTGGAAAGCTCAGAGGTGCAGAGTGAAACAGTGCTCCTACTTGCCAGGAGTTGATGAGTTTTAGCGCCTTCAGGGAGTGCATGAGCCAGAGGTCTGTCAGCGCCTCCAGCTCCGCTCGGAGCTGTAGCCAGGTCTCTCTTTTGGAAGCCCCTATCAATCCTGCAGAGAAAGGAAATAGAGGTGCCGTGGTTATATTAAAAATGGTAGAGGGACAGAGTTGGGGAAGGGGAGTGAGCTACTGTACCCGGAGGACTCAATCAGATGGCACCCAGTGCCAACTTCAACCCAGCAGCCCCTCCTAACCTCTCCTGGGGTCACCTGATGGGTTGATGAATCCATCCACTGACCGATACTTTCACCCTCCATCGGGCCATCCATCCACCCATTTATCTACTCAGCCATCCATTCACCATCCATCCATCCATCCATCCACTCATCCATCTACCACTCATCTATCCATCCATCCACTCATCCATCCATCCATCCATCTACTTATCCATCCATCATCCATCCATCTCTCCATCTTCCATCCATCCACTCATCCACTCATCCATCCATCCATCATCTATCCATCCATCCATCCACTTATCCATCCATCCATCCATCCACTCGGCAGGGCTGTGTGTGCAGGGACAATGACCTCACTGTGACACAATCCTGCCCTGAGCCTGTGCTATCTGCCATCACCTTCTCCACTGGGTGACCCACCACCCCACAAGGCCCAGCAGGATCTAGACACTCTCCTCCCATCCCCCACCTGGAGCCCCTCCAGCTGCCCCCGCCTCTTTATCTTCCTGAAAAGCAGAAGAATCGATGTTCTCAGGGATTTTTCATTTGCTGTTTGTGGAGGAAACAGTGATTGGCCTCCCACCATACATCCTTCTTTTTAGTAAATATTAAAAATTTTAAAAATCTTCATTTGTAATAAACCCTTGGTTTTTAAGGGGCTGGTGCTCTCTGGGCTAAAAGTCTCCATTGCCAACTTCCGCTCAGCTATGTGTGCTCATGTGATGGAAGTTTTGGCAGGTGAGCAGTGGAAGTGCTGTGTGGCTTCTTGGAATTGTCAAAGAGAGGACAATGTCAGGCACAGGCTCCAAGTCCACCCTTGGCTTCTGAGATGCGACTCCCCGAGTGCCTCCTGTCCAGCCTGTGTCCTGCAGTCACCCCCTCTGAGCACCCCCCCAGGCACCCTAGGGTCTGTGCTGGCCTCTGGCTAGAGGCCGCGGTCCTGCACCTGGCTCGTTCTCTGGTGCTGAAGTAGCTGGGGGGCAGGGCTGGCTCCTGCCAGCGGTGGTGCCCTGTTGACACCAGGGTACTGAGTGTCAGCAGACTGACGAAGCCCAGGGAATTTCCTGGGCCTTGATGTGGCGGGGGAGCAGAGGGCCTCCACTGTCTCCCTACCCAAGCACATGGCTCCCTCCTGTCAAAGGCCCTGCAGCTAGGATGTGTCAGCATGGGGCAGAGACTGGTCCTGTCTGGGATGAAAACTGACTTTCCTGGTTCTGGGAATAGAGGGCCCAGGATATGGCAGGCTCGGTCCTGCTGTCTTAGACCCTCGTTCACCTCCAGGTGCCAGGCCATCTGGAGACCCTATGACCTCTTGAGGTTCTTCCATTGAGAACCACTGGCCTGGAGAATCCTTGAACAACTGACCCAGGACCTGGCCATTGCCCAGCAACCCACCTCCAGCCCCCTTCTGACGCCTCCTTCAGGTGGCAAGGAAAGGCTGCATGTGACAAGCCAGAGACCCTGAGCCTCAGGCGGTGCAGCCAGGCCCAGAGAATCAGCCAACCCAGAGAATTGGCTGTGGACATTCTTGAGTGAGGGGAGACAGGGAAACTTGTTTGGGAACCAGTGGCTCCTGGTGCCCCATTGTTACTGAGGGAATCGTATTAAAGACACAGATTCTGAGTTAGTGGCCTGGGACAGGGCCTGGGGTTGTGCATCTCTGTCCAGCTGTGCACTGCTCTGGACCAAGCCCTGGCCATCAGGCCGCAGGGCCCCAGAATTGCCTGGATGCCTGCTGAAGCACAGACCCTGGCCCAGCTCTTGAGTTTTGGATCAGCAGGTGTGAGGGGGCCAGAGACCCTGAATTTCTCATGAGTCCTCAGGTGGAGGCCGCTGGTGAGGTCAGGAGGAGCAGACTGGCCATGTGGGGAGGCCACCTGAGCAGTAGGGATTTGCTTAGAAACTTGGGGAATGTTTTTTTTTTAAATCGGGAAAAACATGACCTGGAGTCCGCAGCCTTTCCAAGGAAGGGAAAATGCCCAGCCAGTCCTCTGGGGTCCCCTCCCGCCTCTGGAGCTTACTTCACTTGGCCTTGGTAAGTTCCTACAGCTGCCTTTCACCTCGGACTCTGCGAGTCTCATTCTTTGAATTCATGAGAAAAAACCCAGCCGACTCCTGGTTCGGTGACGCTGCCATGGGGAGCACCTTGGCGAGCCTCAGGTCCAGCTAGGGGCACTCAACCACGCCCAGCTTATGCTCTGGGGGCCCAATGTTCAGGGACAGGAGGTGCCCTCTGTCCCGGGCTTCCTCCCCATCAAAGTCAGGGAATCAAATGCTACCGGCTGGTCCTGGGGACTGTTGCTGCTCTCCCACTGCCCAGTCCGTCCTGTGGAAGTCCCCGCACTCACCGCCCACGTTGTCCATCCAGTCCACACCGCCATACACCCCAGTGCCCAGGCACAGGCCGGCCCCCCGGGGCTGCACTGTGGAAGCCGTTGGTGGAGAAGTTGTAGGTGCTGGGGAGACAGGTGAGGGCACAGCGGGATTAGTGTCCTTGCACTGGGAGACACAGGGCCTGAGGACCCAAGGGTGGACCTGGGGTACCTGTGCACCCCTGGATGAGCTCAGGGTACCACATGAGCACCTGAGAGGAGCAGCACTGGCACCCCAAGAAGGCCGTGTCTCCTGCTCCTCTCTAAGCAGCCCACACCCCTTTCTTCTGTATCAACAGAGCCTCTAGCTTCTTTGGGACACAATGGCTGCCCCTGAAGGCAGTGGCCAACCCAGGAAAGCCTCTGTCCTCTCCCTTTGGAATTCTGAGCTCCAAGGAAATTCTACAATAAACAGCTGTGATTGCATCATCCTGACGGAAGAGTCCAGTTAATCCCCACTACGGGGATCCCCAAGTCCCCCTGGGAAGGCCTGGCCCCACCTCTCCTCCCTCCCACCGCCTTTCTCCCAACTTTTGTCAAAGGAGGCGCACTCTGCTGCCCGGTTGGTGCTTTGCAGATATGAACCTCGACCTCCAGAGAAGCATGTTGGGCTAAGGAATTCTCTGTGTGGCCAGGAAACTTTAGAAGTGACACAAGAAATGGCATTTCCAAAGGCCAAGGAACACATCCCACATAAAAGGGGGCAGAAGCCATCCTCTGGGACCGCACTGGGCACTTTTCCAGATCATTCTCTATCCGTTGAGGAAGGGGCAGGACTTCTAGCCATCACAGCCCCCTGAGTCCAGACTCCAACTCCTGACCACCCTGCCACCCTCCCTGTCCAGCGAGGCTCCCATCCTGCCAGGACTTATTCTTAAAGAACTAACACTGCCTATCAATTTGGAGGATGCCCTGAGTAGATGCCCAGAGATAGAGTCTCCTTAAGGAGGGTGGGGTGGGATGCCCAGGGGGACTGAGGGGTCAGTAAGAGTGGGGCTCTGGAGCTGGGCTGCTCGGGTTTGGATCCTGCCTTTCACCAGCTATGTGAGCTTGGGCAGGTGTCTTGATCTCTCTGTGCCTCAAGTTCCTCAACTATGACAGGGGGTGACAGGAGAGTCTCTTAGGGCTGCCTCAAAGATGCCAGGGGTTAACCCATAGGAAGCATTGAAAGCAGGGCAGGCGCTCAACAAGGGCCCTGAGGTTGAGTCTCACTGCCAACCGAACCCCTGTACCCATCAAAAAAAAAGAGACATTTGATGCTTGGTGCTGAGCCTATAGTAGGCTCAATATAGTGAATATTTCCTGAATGACTAAATGGGGAATTTGACTTGGGGAAACACCCTCAGACGATGGATTCCCGGCACAAGATACCAGACAGTGCAGCCCGAGGTGGGCTCCCAGCAGCTGCAGGGGAAGCACTAACCCCGGACCCTGGTGTCTCGATGCCTTGAGAGGGAGCCTGGCTCCCAGAGATGACTTCACAGAAATGACCAATTAACTCTGATCTAGCCTTATTTACACCAGGAATCCGGCCGTGGAATGGCGCTGCTCCTCACCAGCCTGGGGACAGATGGATGTTCTGGATGGCTGATGAGATTATTTCTGATTGTGCTGGGCTTTGGAGAGACTGGCAGAGCGCGCGGCAGGGACTCCGTTCTGGTTCAGGCGTGGGTGGGGACACGCCCACACCTGTAACCAGAACCTGCTCACCGTATCCAGGACGGCTTGGAGGTGCTGAGCTGTGATGATTTGGGGTTGACACAGAGGAGCTGTGGTTCTGTTTTGGTCACGTATCCCCAGGGGCAGGCTTGGGACATTTCTATCTCACTCCTCTGAAAGCTGCCTCGTTTTAATCAGGCAGCTGGTTACCGGATTTCCAGAAACCGTCTTAGGAGTGTTTTCCCCTGAAAACCAGACTCACCACTTATTTGTTCAGGAAGTGTTTCTTGAGTATTGACTGAATCAATTTTTTTTTTTTTGTATTAAAAATACATGCCGGCTAATGAATGTCATGAAGACTCCAAGGGACGTGGATCAAACTCTTGATGGCAATGATTTGGGGTGGGGGGACGGGGGTGAGTTTTTATGGTATGCACCCACAACTCCAGTAAACTGGGATGGAGAGTGAGCGATGCAGCAGAGCCTGAGGTCAGAGGTGACAGAATATGCTGCAGAGGGGGGCAGGGTTGTGCTTTGAGTTCAGAGGGGCTCAGGGTCCAGATCTGGCTAGTGACAGGCGCATATGGTCCAGGTGACTAGCCCTCCCCTCCTGAGAATCAACTGATAGACATTTCTGACTCCCCAGATTCCCACCTTAAATCTTGCCCATTGTCATCTGATGAGACGTAATCAACGTGGATCTGGTCACAATCCTATGGGGAATTTGGAGAAGAGAAATAAGAAACAGGCCTGATTGATGTGATGGCAGCTTGCAGAGCTGGCTCCTCTGTCCACTGGGGTGGGTGAGCTGGGCCGGGAGCCCCTGCTGGAGTCCGAGGCTGGGCTTTGCCACTGGGGGTAAGAGGTGCTCCTGTGGGGTCTCCTCTCTCTTTCTCTCTAGTTTCCTATTAGGCAGCTGGTTGGCCCTGAGGGAGGTCGAGCAGAAAATTTATCACCCAAATTGGGACAGTTTTGCAAGGAAGAGGGGACTGCGGGTGATGTGTGTGACACTGGGGGTTGTAAGTGCAAACCTAGCCTCCCCAGCCTCCCAGCCTCCAGGAAAAATGGCAGCCCTGGCCATGATGAGGTGGAGGCCTTTGCCTCACTGTCCCCTCTGCTTGGATGCTCTACTGCCTTTGCCTCCAAGAACCCCGTGTTCTCCCAGTATTAGCTTCTGGAGGCCACCCTCTGGGTCCCAAAGTCTGTGACCATCAGCGACTGAACACTGGGTCCCAGGCCTGCTCTTTCCACCACCCACGGGCCCCATGGCCTCCTGTCTTTCCTTAGTCCTCTTTGAGTACTCAGTGGCCACCTGTACCCAGGGAGTTCTGTACTGGATTCTGCACACATTCATTTCTACCACCAAAGAAAATTCTATGGGCAGCGCAGCTCTAGAGGGATACTTACCCTGGTGGTAAGTTCAGTCGGGGAGGAGCAGAGACCTCCTCATTTAGCCTGCCCTGGGTTGCAAAACATGTTTTTGGAATGATGGGCAATAGGTCAGCTTGGGGGAGCTCTGTCTGTCCCGCTCTCTCCCATATTCCTGTATCTGCACTGTCCTTTGGAGCTGAGCTGTGGGGCATCTACTTGCAGGTCCCCACAGTCTCTGCTGGGCTTGATTCACCTGTTACCTGGCCCCTGGGCATCTGATTGGAGATCTCTGACTCACAGCCTTCGTGTAACTAGAAGGTCCTTAGGCCCAGCAGGCCCCACGTGCTGGTGAGTTTGCCTTTTAGAAGAGTGCTGACTTTACAGACAGGCCACAGAGAACAAAAGATCAACAGCACATTCCCCAGTGCACTGGAAAAGCACCTCCCGTCCTTCCCCAGGCTCCACAGCCCTTCAGGGGTTGAATGGCTCGGCCCAGGCTAGGTTCCACAGGCTTTCCTTGATGTCAGGGGGAAGGCATTTTGGGAGGCTCTGTTTTACTCATTTGCAAGGGGATTGTTGGGGGCGCTAAAGTGTGACAACAGTACCGATCACATTTCAGGCTTCATAAAATACCATGACGCTCAGCTAGACACTACCTCATACTGTACCATCTGACCCGGATCGAGTTACCCCCCCCCCCCCAGCCAGCAACGAGGGGCCTGGACGGTGCAAGGGAAATGAGGCCCCGTTGGGAGTTTTGTGGAGGAGAATTCGATGCCCCTAACTCTGCCGTCCCTTCCCCAGGCATGGGGAGAGGTCCCTTACACCCAGGAGAATCAGGGTACTTCTGCTCTCTCCTGGTCAAAGCGTGACCAACCTGTAGAGACAGACAAAGGGTTCCCATGGCCTTGACATGATAGCCGTGTGGTGACACAGTGCTGAGGATCTGCAGCAGTGCAGTCTCTGCCTCAGGAAGAAAAAGGAAAAAAAAAAAAAAAACAAAACAGCCGTATCTGTAGTAAGAACTCCTCCCTCCCTGGCCTTATTTCTCTTAGTGGCATGAACAGTGAATCTCACATCTGATGGACCCTAGTCCTGGTACCATATTGAGGGCCTGCAGCAGCCCTGTCACTCAAGGCTCAGCAACCTGAGGTGTATTTATGAGGGTCCAATACCACTTCTGGTGGCTCTGGTTCCTCTGTGGCCACTGCTGACCGAAGCTCTTGCTCTTGTCAGACCCTGTGCAGTGTCCTAGAAAGAGCGTCTTGTCACCCAAGATGGGAACTTGCCCAAGGCTCCCCGCTCCTCTATGGGCTGCAGAGTTCCTGTCATTTGGATTCTCCATCCTCTGTGAGCTTCACGCCCACAAGGCACCCTTGGCATGCCCCTGCTTTACAAAAGATCAAACTGAGGCACGGGGAGGGGGGGAGTGGCCTGGGGAAGACAAGAACAGGTTGAGCACCTGTACTCTAAACATCCAAACTCCAAACCCTGATGGTCTCTAACTCCATGCAACAAATGGAAAATCCCAGCCGGGCATGGTGGTGCACACCTGTAATCCCAGAGGCTTGGGAGGCTGAGTTAGGAGGATTGCAATTTCAAGGAAGCCTCAGCAACATATCAAGGGTCTAGCAATTCAGCAGGACCCTGTCTCAAAATAAAAAATAAAACAGGCTGGGGTGTGGCTTAGTGGTGAAGTGCCCTGAGTTCAATCCCAGTACAATAATAATTTCATGTATAAACTTGTTGAAGTATAAAGCTCACCATAGTTTGAATTTTCAGTTCCCTCAGTGTATGGGGGGAGTGATCTCTTCATGAAATTTGTATTTTCCAAAGTCAGACTCCTCTCAAGAATATACCTGTGATGGCAGTAGGATTATATATATGTATATAAAAATATATATTGTGACCCAGGTGACAGAGACAGGGAGTCAGGAAGTTACATATTTGTTAACTTTGAAAATTCATGGAGAAGTAAAACGAGAAAAATGTGTGACATGTTTTATAATATGTATCCCTGATGAAGCAAAAGGCACGTCCAAGTATACACCATGCCTCCTATCAAATGCCTCTACTTCTATTCCTTTTGGATTATTTTTGTTGATGTTAGGATAAGTGGTCAGAGTCTAGTAGGTTATGGGTTAGTGTCAGAGATTCAATGTTTCGAATGGCAAAACGTCAAATGTGTCTAATATGTATGCGAACATGTGCCACATAAAAATCTTCCACTGTCATCCACCACAATGCCTTGACATTACTATCACCCCAAATAAGACACAATGAGAGGAGAAGAGGAAAAAATTCTGTGAATACATATCTGGAATTGGAAATTCTGAGGAGCTCACAAACTGGGGTGTGGCAGAAGAGATCCCAAAAGTAGGGGACAGGGTACACATTCCACAAACATGGAGCTTTGCTGCCCTGATTACTTCTTGACTATTTGCCTCTGACATTTGTGCACTAGAAATATAGCTTTGTGATTTAGCTTCCTTTGTAGTGAGACCATAAAAGCTTGGTCTGAGTCTATGTGAACAGGAGGACATGGTTTCATATTTTCCAATACGAACAGGAGGCAGCAGAGCTGAATCCTCTCTTTGTAGGTAACTGTGGCCATCGGGGTATGAATGTCTCCCTGGGTGGATTGTGAAGCCTTTGGCTCACCCTCCAATTTTAATAGCATTTCTTGCAGCTTCCCTGGAAAATTGGTGTTTGTTTTTGAAATACAAAAAGGTCAACCGGGACACAGTGCTGGAGGGAGCTATGTCACCTGGGGTGAGTCAGGGTCTGAAGGAAAAAACACAAACTGGGCTTCTATCCCATATATCTTTCCCACTTGAGTGTAGCAACTTGATTCTGAGCATCGCAACAAATCCTCTCCCCACAACAACATGCCTTTTTATTTTAGGGTCTGCTGGCTGCATCTTTTCAGTCACATGTCATTTGGAAGCCAATGACAGAACCACAGGGGCCCACCACAGATGTTTGATCACACACCTGCACTCCATTTCTCCAGGCCCAGTTCCCTGCTGGCTCCTACTCACTGGCATCTCTGTTCTTCACCATGGTCATGAATTACACTCAGTCAAAAACGGCACTCGCTTGTTCAGTCATGATGGGCAACAGGAGATCTAAAGGTTCCCCAGGGATTTCTGGTCATGGGATTCTCAAACACTTCCTGGTTTTGGCCTAGCCATATTTCAAGAATGAAGAAGTTGGCACTGTGGGTTTTGATTCATTCAGGAGCCATTAAGTGTTCAGGAATCTCCTTTCAGTGAAAGCTCTGGAGATCTAATGCAGGCAAGGCTTCCCAAGGAGAGGCAAAATGTCACTGGAATCCATGCCCATTGGGGTCTAAATTATGAGGTTCATGTGAGTTTTGGCTCTCAACTATAGTTGAAAAGGCTTTAACAGGAAAATCATGTGGAATCCTGGCTGAGATTCCCAGTGCTGTGGAGATAGCCACCCTCGGCCTAGATCTCAGGTTCCAAAGGCTCCTCTAATGCCTGGCCTTCTAAAATACCAACACAATTCATGGCAATAGTTTTCTGAGATCAGTTCCAGAACTCAGTCTCTAATGGCATCACACCAGAGTTCAAGCTGAGGTGGACCCAGTCATCTTTTCCAACCACTACACAAAAGACCACTATTCTAACAAAAACACTCCAACATGGCCCTCAAGTTCTTCCATATAGACATTCATCATAATATTCTGGCTGAGGATTTCCATAGGGGGAGCAGTCTAAGATGGTGTGCAAAGTAAGCTCTCATGCCCATCATATGCCAAATGTCATGGTGGCCTGGACACCCTTCCTGAGAAACAGGATAGATAAAATGGGCCTGTAGTTAATACTGCTCTGCTTATCAAATTAGAGGCCTCCTGCCTGCCAGGGGTAGATTCTTTATGTGTACTGGAGTCATGAAAAAACCCAAACACCTGTGTGCTAGTTACTGGAGGGCTTGCAATAACTCATTTGACCCAGAGGATCCCTGTTCTTACTTCACAGGGGTCAGGAGCCTGACCAGAGGAAGGCAAGAGACTTCATCCAATATTACACTTCCTTTTCATGCTTTTACATTTTCATGGACACATGGGATTTTTCTTTAGTTTCCTGGGGTGCTGAGATTGTAATTCACAGCCACACATAGTGCCAAGAGTCTGATTCAGACACATCTTTTACAAAGCACTTTACCTAAAAGGCACAGATTAGGCCTCTTCATTTCCATTTAAAACTGTTTTCTTGAGGATTCCCAAAGGAGTACCCCAAGGCAAAGACCTCCCTGACATTCAGGGGAATAGAACAATGGGTAAGAAACAAGCCTGGGGAAACACTTTTCTTCAAGA